TTTTAGGTCAAACTGTTTAATCATGATCCAAGGGCTGGGGGACTTGGCGACAGTATCAGGAGCAAGACCCAAACGCTCTTGATGCCCAAATGTTCAGGATCGCATGGCCGGGCGGTGAAGACAGAGGTTCTCACCTTCCATTCAGAGGGGACGAGGGGCCAGGAACAGCAGCCGTCCTCACAAGGGAACATCTTTCTCAGCTGCCTCAGAACCCTCAGCCCCACGTTCCTGAAGAATGCAACAGGGAACCATTGACTTGCTAGGCTTTGGTCGGTCCTGGGAAACAGGAAGGAGGCATGGGAGGGGTGAAGCAAGTCACCACCAGAACCCGGGTGACAGAGTCCTAGGGAGGGTCAGCGAGAGAGAAGAAGGTATAAGGGAGGTTCAAAAACCAGCCAATCAGGATCGGAGGTCACAGCCTAGCTTCTCCGGAGCCCTCAGATGGAGCAGGCAAGACGCACGTGCATGCCACGCATCAGGTGGGAGCATCAGGTGGGACACTTGCTTGGTCCAGGGTTGCGGTGGTGTCGCCACCTTGCATCTTCTCCCGGGGGCTGTCATTTCCTCTCCCGTAACGGGAAGCACGTCAGTCTGGGTGTGGGGAAAGAACGAAGGACCCTGGGGAAGCCCGGCTACCAGAGGGTCTGAAGCGCACTCCAGGCAAGTGTGGAGAGAGAAAGAGCAGGCACACTGAGCTGTGGTCTCAGAGCAGGGCTGTGGTTCTGCGAAAGAAACGGAATAGAGTCAGCCTGGAGGGCACGTTCCCTTCACCACCAAAGCCTGTCACACGACCCGTCCCCTTTCCGCGACAGGTGCATCAGACGTCTGCGTCACTCGCGGGCACCTCTCCCACCTCGTCTCCTAGTCTAACTGGTTTGCTGTTCTCTCCATCCTGTGCGGTAAATTCTCGAGGTACACGAGACAGAGGGAGTCCTACCTGCGGCTGCATCTCAGGAGAGGTAGAGTCCACCCGGTCCTGGGAAAAGAGCTGTCCGTGGAAGCGCATCTTAGCTGCAATGGCCTCCGCTAAGTCGGGGGGGGGGGGGAGAAGATTGGAGCAAGGTTGCCGGGGAGTTTCTCAAGCCTCCCAAGGCAAGGGGGGGGGGACGCCATGGGTCCCTGGGATACGGCGGGCAGGTGGGCAGGCAGTGGGGGTGGAGGTCTGACTCAGTCCGCTTGCTAGCTCAAGTTCTTGGGGCCAAGAAAGTTGAACAGGCAGTGTGGAGGTCACTCTGGGAGTGGGGGAGAGGGGAGAAGGAAGGGAGAAGGGTCCATGTTGGAAGGATGGAGGGATGTGGGCCACGCAGCTGACTCTTCCAACAGGTGACCTAGCTCCAGGGGCTGGGCGTAAGTGGGGAGCGAGCATACGCACTGAGGCAGGGGTTCCGGGAGAAGGACCTTTCCAGCTGTTCGCACTCATCCTGCAGGTTGCCGCTGCCCCGGCAGGTGCAGCTCAGGGCAACGCTGGCGTTGGCCCTGCTGATGAAGTTTGGGGTCATGGCAGTCCCTGTTGGGCGGAGAGAGGAAGGGCTTGTCGGGGTCTAGGACAAATCCCAGCTGCGTCCCCCGTTTCTTCCACCGGCCTCAGGACCCCAAAGCACCACCCCGGGTGCTGTCTCCAGCGCACTTACCTCAGAGCCGACCACCCTACCGATTCCTCCCCGCCCCGCCGCGTGCACCCCAGTCTTACCAATCAGCCCCACGTACGCCCGCAGACATCGGGACTGCTCGGTTGCACAAGTCCCGAGGATGTCCATAGGATGACAGTGGGTCTGGAAATCCATCAGGCGTGACCTGGAAGAAAGGAGGTTTCCAGGGTCCCCGCTGAGGATCTGGACTCCACCCTGACTGTCCTTCAGCCTGTTGGGCTACCTAGGAAGTTCCTGACCAGCCAAGCCTACGTAGAAAGATCCCATCACAATGAAAAGAAAAGGAAAGGAAAAAGAAAGAAACCAGACTCTATCTATACTTCAACATGTTATTTCACTTTTTATTTTCTTTGAGACAGGGTTTCTCTGTGGCTTTGGAGCCTGTCCTGGAAATTACTCTGTAGACCAGGCTGGCCTCAAACTCACAGAGATCCACCTGCCTCTGCCTCCCGAGTGCTGGGACTAAAGGCTTGCGCCACCAACGCCCAGCCTTGCTATTTCACTTCTTTCTACTATGATTTGCTCATTCGTAAACTGAGGGTGACACAAAATAGTAATAGCAACCATTTTACAGGTTTCTTATGAAGCTGAAAACAGTAAATAATTATTTTAAAGCAGACTCAAGTCCGTAAGAAGTGGCTGGAAGGGTTAGTACTGTTATTGAGAGCTCCCAGTACAAGCTTTAATAAACAAGATTAATTTATCTTTATTTTCTACGTATGGGTGTCTGCCGAATGTATGTATGTGTGCCATGTGTGTGCCTGGTGCCGATGGAGGCCACAGATGGGGTTGGATGCCCCAGAACTGGAGTTATACGCGACTGTGAGCCTTCACACATGAATTCAGGCCCTCTGCAACAGCTTCAAGTGCTATTTACAGCTGAGACATCTCTCTAGCACCTAAACAAGGATTTAAGTTTACATCTGTTTGAAACATCTTACTCACACCTGCCCTGCCTCCACAGGAAATCACTTGTGAGGTGAGAAGCATATCCTATGTGAAAGTCTGGGAATGTCTGTCAGGGAATGCTCTCTGGAACAGTGACAAATGCTGAGCAGCGTTTTATATGTTTTTTTGGATTTTTTTCATTAATATATGTTAGTTATCCATAATAATGGTCTTTGTAAAGACATTCCCGTCACGTTTAATTTTCGTCTGTTGAAACTGTCTTACTGTGTTTTTCAAGATGATCTTAAACTCCTGGATTCAAGCATCCTCCTGCCTCAGACTTCTAAGGTTCTGTGTAGTTTTCTGTAAAACCTAGGCTAACACTACAGATCTCATGGGATTCTGGTTAGAGTTAGCTTGCTCGGAGTCCTAGGCATTGTGGGGAAGGGTAAGTGCTGGGTGAATGTTACCACTCGTAAAGAACTTGATTTTGATCTGTTTTTAATTTTTGTCTTTTTGAGACAAGGTCTTACATAGCCCATGCTGGCCTCAAATCCAGGATGCACACAATGGTGTTCTTACATTTCTGCTCTTTCTCCCTTGGCCTCCAAATGCTAAGAGTTCAATTCACTGTCTTGGCTTGGAATTTTCTTTCTTTCTTTTTTTTTTTTTTACGAGACAGGGTTTCTCTGTATTGTTTTGGAGGCTATCGGTCCAGCCTGGCCTCGAACTCAGAGAGATCCGCCTGCCTCTGCCTCCCGAGTGCTGGGATTAAAGGCGTGAGCCACCACCGCCCGGTTGGAATTTTATTTCTTTCTTTCTTTCTTTTTTTTTTTTTGGTTTTTCGAGACAGGGTTTCTCTGTGGCTTTGGAGGCTGTCCTGGAACTAGCTCTTGTAGACCAGGCTGGCCTCTAACTCACAGAGATCCGCCTGCCTCTGCCTCCCGAGTGCTGGGATTAAAGGCATGCGCTACCACTGCCCGGCGGAATTTTATTTCTTTAAAAAATTTTTTTAATTAAAAATATTTTTCTGCTGGGCGGTGGTGGTATACACCTTGAATTCCAGCACTCAGCAGGCAGAAGCAGGCAGATCTCGGTGAGTTCGAGGCCAGCCTGGGCTACAGAGCTAGTTCCAGGACAGGCTCCAAAGCTACCAAGAAATCTTGTCTCGAAAAATAATTTCCCCCCCCCTTATTTACACGGGCAGCTGTTAGGGAACCATGGCGTGTGTCTGGGATGAGAGGACATCCTTCTGGAATCACTCCGCACCTCCTACTTGTTGGACACCGTCTTTCTTGGTTCTGCAGCTGCCTGCTTTTGACTGGTCCAGAGATGTTCTTGGATCATCCTGCCTCTGCCTCCCACTCCAGGAGCACTGGGACTGCAGGTGCAAACCAACCACATCCCAGTGCCTCCCAGCGCAGAGGCAGGCAGATGTCTGAGTTCAAAAGCCAGCCTGGTCTACCTAGTAAGTTCCAGGAGAGCCAGGGCTATATAGAGAGACCCTTAGTTACAAAAGCAGCAGCAGCAGCAACAACAGCAAAAACAAAACAAAATAAGAAAGAAAGAGGAAGGAAGGAAGGAAGGAAGGAAGGAAGGAAGGAAGGAAGGAAGGAAAGAAGGAAGGAAGGAAAAAGTTTCTGGACTGGATACGAATCACTTATTACCAAGCCTGATGACTGAGTTTTTATCCACAGCTTACTTAGTGGGAGTTGACTTTTGACTTCCACAAGTGCATCTGAGGTTGCAGGACCACCCCCACCTTCCTCACCCCGCTAAATAAATGAATAAATAAACATAGGGGGTTTTGTTTGTCTGTTTTTAATTTGGTTTTGATTTTAGGAAGGATCTCACTTTGTGCCCCTCACTAAGTTGACCAGTCATTTAGGAGGCTGAGTTCAGGGTTATATGAAATCTTGCTTCAAAAAGTAACATAAAGTAAGTCTCATGACCAGGAACTGTGGGATGTCTTTATAATATAATCTCTCCCCCCAACACACACTCAGGAAATCAAGGGGGAAGCTTGGGCTATCATAATGTAGTGGACAGCCTGGGCTACAGGAAGGAAGAAAGAAGGGCAGAAGGGAAGGTTTTACAAAGTATCCAAAGTATCTTGGGTTTCACAAACTATCCAAACAGCTAGTAGGCTCTGGGTTTCGAATTGGATGCAGCTTTTGCAGAAGGAGGGCCAGACCCAGATGTATGTATGTACGTACACACACACACACACACACACACACACACACACACACACACACGATGTATGTATGTATACACACACACACACACACACACACACAGAGGGGCGCACATCCCTGCCCGTCCTGCCCACCCTCCCAGGGCACCTGCACAGCTGATCCGTTCGGCAGAAGCTCCGAAGGTCCAGGCAGTTGGGGACCTCCGAAGGGAGGGCGCAGCTGGGGGCGATGGTGTTCTTCCGACGCTCCCCACAGCCCACATCTTGGGGACTGCAGGGACACAGCAGCAGGCCCTGGGCGTGGGTCTCGGCAGCCTTCTCGAAGAAGGAGCGCAGCTGTGCCAGGCAGAGGTGGCGCTGGCAGCGGGGCCCTGAGCACGCCTCCCCGTAGGCTTTTCGCAGACGGTCACATTTGTCGTTCAGAGTACACAGCATGGCAAATCTGAGGCAGAGGTCCGAGTCTGCGGGGAGAGCGGCCCCAAGTCACCGGGTGAGTCTCACTCTGGCAGCCCAGCAACCTCCCCGGGGCGACAGGCAGTTGAGGTGGCAGAAAGGAAGGGCTGTGCTGAATTAATCCACTCCCAACACTCCTCCCACAAACTCTATCTCCTTCCCTGCTCCGATCCGGTCTGCTAAAATCATCATCATCATCACCACCACCACCATCCACATACATCTAATGCCCACTCATAGCCGGGCGTTGGTGGCGTAAGCCTTTAATCCCAGCACTCGGGAGGCAGAGGCAGGCAGATCATCATCATCATCATCACCACCACCACCACCATCCACATACATCTAACACCCACTAGCAACCCAGCAGGGGACAGCGAAATAAACAAAGCTGGGGGGGGGTTCCTTGATTCCATGCAGTGAGACCTGGTGGTGGTAATCAAAAACCAAGAAGCTCTCTCTGCCAACACCCCAGAGAACTTCCGAGCTGTTAAGACAACACTTGTTTTTGTTTCATTTTTTTTTCCTGGCATGTGCTCTGTAGACCAGGCTGGCCTCGAACTCACAGAGATCCGCCTGCCTCTGCCTCCCGAGTGCTGGGATTAAAGTTGCGAGCCACCACTGCATAGCTAGAGTGGAGCTGTGGGGCCAGGCTTCATGACATGATGTGTACACACCACTGACAATATTTCTATTAAAAAAATATTTCTATTAACAGAATATTCCAACAAACAAACAACCTGGACTGTTCTGGCAGGATTTTCACAGGTTATTTACGGATTCCTCTTAATGGGTTTATGAGGCATAAATTTGTGGTTTTCTTCCCTTAAAATTCCAATTCTAATGTACATAACTGACTATAATATAAAACTCAAGCCATGCCGTGGTGGCGCACGCCTTTAATCCCAGCACTCGGGAGGCAGAGTCAGGCGGATCTCTGTGAGTTTGAGAGAAACCCTGTTTTGGGGGGGAAACCCTCAATAAAAATTCGTTAACTCTTAAGCTGGATGTAGTGGCACAGGTTTATAATTCCAGCACTCAGGAGGCACAGGCAGACACACACACACACACACAGTGACTCTTCCAGGTATAGGCATATACTCATAATACTCATATAATTCTAGCACTTGGAGGCAGAAGAATAAAGAGTAAGACCTCAAGGCCAGTCTGGGCTACACAGCGAGACCCTGTCTCAAAAGCAAGAAAAAGCCTAACTTAAAAAAACACAGAACCAACTATATAATAAATCTTGTATCTTAAAAACTAGTGCCTGAACGCATTGCTTGGTTTTTTGTCTGTTTTCTTTAGAGAGGTAGCCCAGGCTGTCCCAGAACTCACTCTGTAGCTGAGGATGGCCTTGAATTCCTGGTCATCTTGCCTCTTCTTCTTAAGAGCTTGGATTAAGGCATGTGCTACTCCCTCCTCCCTCCATCCCCACCCTCCCCACCCCTGCAGTGCACTTCTGTATTCTTTCTCAGTCTGTTCACAGTCTCATTGTCCTGGTCCCAGCCCTTGCTGGACTGAGAGCTCCCACCCCGACTGACCCCTGTGAGGAGTGAGAGGCTTGCTACTTTTTTTCTGCCCAACTTCTCACCCACCCCATTAAAATGGTTGATAACAAGCAATTTCCTAGTCCTTAGGGACTTCTGAAGAAACTGCTTTCCCAGCCACCTTCAATGTGGGTAAATACTCCATTCCAACGTGCCCCCGCTGCCCCCACACACCCTTCCTGAGGACCAGTGGCCCTAATGGGCTCTGGAGGTTTCCCTAGTAACCGCTGCTTTTTCATGGCTCCTGTGAACATAGACCATGCACCACACCCCAGACTTCCAGACCGACACAGCAGGCAGAAACTCTCCTCGCAGGGCGCCCCCAGCCCAGTGTATGCTCCCCCTCAGCCACCCTCCCCTCAGAGCCCAGGCCAGCCTCCTTTATCCCCCCATCCAAGGCTTGCCCTCCACACCTGGTTTGAGCATGCTCAGTTTGCTGAGATTCATTTTCCAGGGTTTGCTGGTCGTCACTGTGTCTTCATAGGGGGAGACATCCAACTCATAGTCATCTAGAGAGAACAGCGAGTATGTGAACGCCAAGGACAAGAGCTTGTGAAAGGGAGCAGGGAGGGGCTGAAGTTGGTGGGTCAGACTGCAAGACCTCGTACCTAGGGAGCTGTGAGCTGTGCGGGTGAGAACATTTCAGTACCGTGAGGGTACAGGTTAGGCCTGATGAATAAATATATGAGAATAATTTTTTTTTGGTTTTTCGAGACAGGGTTTCTCTGTATTGTTTTGGAGGCTGTCCTGGAACTCACTCTGTAGACCAGACTGGCCTCGAACTCACAGAGATCCACCTGCCTCTGTCTCCTGAGTGCTGGGATTAAAGGTGTGCACCACCAACGCCCGGCATGAGAATAATAAGAGCTATAATTTGTTAAACTCACTGGGTCACACACAGACACACATGCACACACACACACACACACACACACACACACACACACACACACACACCCTCATTTCATCCCTCCTAGAGGTCTGATAGGTAAGACGAAACTGAGGACGAGAAGTCCTCAGTTGCTTAGTTTCCCATCAGCTTAATAAGAAGGGGAACTGGGCTACGGATGGTGTGTACACCTTTCCTCAAGGCAGGTACAAGGCAGGCAGATCTCTGTGAATTAGAGGTCAGCCTGGTCGTATAGTGAGTTTCATGACAGCTAGAGCTACATAGCGAAACCTTGTCTCAAATAACGGGGCGCGGGGATGGGGGTGGGAACGACATAAAATCTATGCCTGGTTCCAGAACTTCTGCCCCTAAGTCTAGACACACGGTCAAGCAGGGAGATGCCTTTCGCTCTCTCTTGCCATTAGGGAAGGGGCAGAAACGGACTGTGCTCTAGGCTTGACCTATGGCTGTGGAGACACGTGAAACGGAAATGGAAGCGAGGGCTGGTACTGAGCTGAACAAAAATGAGAACTCCGGAAGAAGGAACGACAGAGCCACCCCAGCCAACACCCCTCGCAGCCTTTCCCGTGGGGGCTCTGGACTCCTGGAAGGCACTTGCTGGGTTATAAGCACGGTGGGTGCTCAATAAATGCTAATTAACAAACGTTGCTGGGGGCTGGGATGCAGCTCCGGGTTAGAGGGCTTGCTGGGCATGTACAGAGCCCTGGGTTCAACCTCCAGCACCGACGGTAAGTTGGGCACTGTGGTTCCTGCCTGTGATGCCGGCACTGGAGAAGTAGAGGCAGGCAGACCAAGAGTTCATGGTCGGCGCACGCCTTTAATCCCAGCACTCGGGAGGCAGAGGCTGGCGGATCTCTGTGAGTTCGAGGCCAGCCTGGACTACCAAGCGAGTTCCAGGACAGCCTCCAAAACCACAGAGAAACCCTGGCTCGAAAAAAACCAAAAAAAAAAAAAAAAAAAAAGAGTTCATGGTCATGGCATGTTATTGAAGATGGCCAGGGTACACGAGACCCTGAATCTAAATCGATCACTGTGGAAGAAAGAGGTGAGCGTGCTGGTGTCACCCAACAGGCCTGTGTAAATGCATCGTTGACTGCAGTCAAACAGAGGAGGGTGGGCTTTAAGAAAGACCTGGGAGCCCCTACGGGGCAGCAGGAAGTGGAGAGTCCCAGAAGACATCTCTGGGGAAGGTCAAAAGAGAACAACTAGGGTGAGTACCGGGAAGCAGGTACCAGGAATGCAGTAGTGGGTGGTAACCACTCCCAGTTACCGCCCCATCACCCAATCCCGGGGTAGGGCTATATCTCCCCACCGTTGCCATGGGGCTTCCATGTGCCTGGTGAGAGGAATACGCATGCTCAGCCCACTGGTGGCAGGTTTGGCCATGTGACTTGCTTCGGCCTATGGAGTTTAGGCTAAAACGACGTCCATCCTATCTGAGCAGAAATTTTAGAGCCTTCACGTGATTCTGAAGCTCGTCTCGTCTGTCTACCGGTCCGGATCCTTCCACAAAGACGGAAGGTAGAACAAAGTCACCTCCTGATGGAAGCCGGCAGCAGGGGTAAAACACGAGCCAGAAACAACTTCCCTTTTTAACAGCCCTTGTTCTGGGGGAGGGCTTGTTGTAACTGCAGTTCAATCTAGCGTTTTATTTATTTATTTATTTTTTTAGTTTTGTTTTTGGCTTTCAAAGCAGCAGGGAGATCTCTGAGTTTGAGGCCAGACTGGTCTTACCAAGTGAGTTTCAGGACAGCCAAAAGCTACATGGGGAAACCCTGTCTCAAAAAAAAAAAGCGCCGGGCGTTGGTGGCGCACGCCTTTAATCCCAGCACTCGGGAGGCAGAGGCAGGCGGATCTCTGTGAGTTCAAGACCAGCCTGGACTACCAAGTAAGTTCCAGGTCAGCCTCCAAAGCCACAGAGAAACCCTGTCTCGAAAAACCAAAACAAAAAACAAAAAACAAAAAAGCAAGAGATACCTTACTCAGCCTAGACACAGAGTGTGTGTGTGGAGGGGGGGGTGAAAAGGTGCCTTTCCTGACTCAACGAGATGATGGGACAGACTTAGTAGACTTCCTAAGGGAGGTCTCACCCTCTCCATGGAGCAGATAGAAGGTGGGGAGCAGAGGGGGAACTGGGATTGGAATGCAAAAAATAAATAAATTAAAATAAGAAGACCTGGGAAGCACAAACACACATTACTGTTTGTAAGTCCGATCACACAGATAGAAGCCGTGTGCTCCTGAAAGAGGGCGACTGCAAAAGCAAAAAAACAAAACACAACAGCAAAACCAAAATAGATCAGGAACTCCAGGGTTTGCAGCATTAAGAGATGCAACTTTCTCTCCGATTCACACGGGAAATAAGGCTGGAAAGGGTTCTGAGTTGGTCATAACTCAATGGGGGAAGAGACAAATCAAACACATGGATGCCCTGATGGTCGTTGGGATCTCTCGGCCCAACGACCAGGGGGGTTAGCAGTGAATCCTGTCAGTTGGACAAATATAGTCAGGAGGATAAAAAAAAGTTAAAGCAGAGACTCCCATGGAGGCCTGGCAAGGGCAAGGGACTTTTAACTCGGTGTAGAAGGAAGCGCGTGTCTTAAATTGCGCGAGAGGCTACTGGGCCTGCGAGATGGCAGAAATCAAAGGCATGAAAAGCAATTATGTGTGGCGCAGCCGAGAGCTGCCAGCCCATATTAAAAGAGACTCTGAGACTTAAAATCCCCGACATCCTTCAGTCAGGAAGCAGGCTGAGAATACAGCTCAGCGCCCAAGGAGACTGCAGTCTCCAGTGCCCGTTTTAAACATGGCCAAAGAGAGTAATGGAAAAGCAGGAACCTGGCAGAGGGCTGGGCCAAGAGTCCTACAGAACAACAGACAGGGCGACTGCACCCCTAGAGCCAAGGGGGGCGTCCCTCTCCCTGGGGAAGAGGACCTTCCAACACGCTCTGTGAACCCGTGTGCCCCATGTCTCCCAGAGCCCCCTTTCTGCGCTGTTTGTGTCTGGATTCCGTTGTTCCCTTGCCGTGCGGAAGGCGGGTGACTTGCCTTTTCAATGTGTGGGTTTCTAGGTCAAGAGGAGCCAGGTCCAGACCCAGCAGAAAAGTTTTCATGAGCCAGGACATGTACCCGTGCTGTCTACACTCGGCAGGAAACCACGGGTCTAAGTTAGCCTTTCCGTGACTCATAGCTGACACCCTTGAGCAAAAGCATAAAAGTGCTCAGTGCCAGAAGAACGTGTCAGATCCCCTTGGGCCTGGAGTTACAGACAGTCATGAACCACCCTCCTGAGTGCTGGGAATTGAACCCAGGTCCTCTGGAAAAGCAGCCAGTGCTCTTAACCACTAAGGCAACTCTCCAGCCCCCCTCCCCACCCCCCTCCCTACCTATTTTGTTTTGTTTGCTTGCTTGCTTGATTTTTGAGATAAGCCCCCCCCCCACTGGCCTGGGACTCAGCAAACAGGCTCAGCTGTCCAGCCAACAACCCTAGAGATCTACCTGTCTGCTTCCCAACACTGAAATTACAAATGTCACATGCCCATTTGTTTTGTTTCAATGTGGATTCTGAGCTCAAACTTAGGTCTTAAGTTTGCAAGGTTGACTGAGCTACCTCTCCTGCCTTTTTGGATCCTTTTTGTTTTGTTTTGTTTTGGGTTTTTGTTTTGTTTGAGACAGGGTCTCACTCACTAACCAGTCTAGGCTATCCTCAAATTGGTGGGGATCTTCATACCTCAGTCCCCCCTCCAGTGATGGGATTACGAGCCTCCATGTTCGTCTATGGAAAGTCATTTTTTTGTTATCACAACCGTAGTCCCAGAATTTGGGAGACAGAGGCAGGTGGACCTCTGAGTTCGAGGCCAGCCTGGTCTACAGAGCAAGTGCCAGGACAGCCAGGGCTGCTACACAGAGCTGATGAGCAGAGGCTTTTCTGCTCGGCTCCCTCTCGCTGCCTCCTGTCTGGTGAATGAAAACCTTCCTGTTACAAACGTCACTGGCTTGGGGCTTCCCACTCTCTCCGAGTTGGCAGTCCCCGTGGTGTTCTCAGCCTGTGATGAGCCGAGACCACTTTCCTCATTTCCTCTCGATATCCAGTTTCGGGATCTCCTCAGGCTGGGAAACTCCCTGGCTTAAGAGCTTTGTGGAGAAGATGGGACAGGGAAGAAAGTGGACGCAAGGAGCCAGCAAGAGGGCTCGGCGGGTGAAAGGGCTAACCGCCAAGCTTGAGAGCCTGAGTTTGATTCCCGGCGCCCGTAAGGTAGGAGGAGAGAAGCAACTCCACAAAACTGTCCTCTGACCTCCACATATATCGACACACGCGAATAAATAAGTATTTTTGTTTGTTTGCTTTGAGACAGGGTTTCCTTGCATAGCCCTGATGGTTCTGGAACAAGCTCTGTGGACCAGGCTGGCCTCGAACTCAGAGACCCACGCACCTGCCTTGGCTTCCCAAGGGCGTGAGCCACTACCCCCCAGGGTGTTAGTCAGCTTTTTTTGTTTTTGTTTTTGTTTTTGTTTTTTTTTGGTTTTTTGAGACAGGGTTTCTCTGTATTGTTTTGGAGGCTGTCCTGGAACTAGCTCTTATAGACCAGGTTGGTCTCGAACTCACAGAGATCTGCCTGCCTCTGCCTCCCGAGTGCTGGGATTAAAGGATTGCGCCACCCCCTCCCCGCCTAGTCAGCTTTTTTGATGGACTATGTTATGGCAACAAAAAAAGGGCTAAAAATATTTTAAAAGAAAGGTAGAAAATACGTAGAGGATCCAGTAAGACAATGCCGAATTTTCCCTGCATCTCTCACTGACGTGCCACACGAAGAACTCATTCATCCTCACCAAAATCAACTACATGGTCTTCTGCCATTGAGAAATGACTTCCCCAAATCTACTTTTGTTGGACCCCAACCCCCACCGGGTCTCTGTGAGTTGCTGGTCAGCCTACAAGTGCAACTTGTTTTCCAGTCCAAGTGCTTCCTGTTTTCTAGTCCTGGCTAACTGCCCCGGCCTTGACCCTCTGACATCAACATCTAGCAGGAGGAAAACATGCGCTCTTCTACCTGGGGTTTTTCCACTGTGCTGTAAGCCTGTATATAAGGCTGTTCCCTCCTACAGGAGAGAGACTCTCAGCACTTGCAATAAAGACTCTCTCTCTCTCTCTCCCTCCCTCTCCCTCTCCCTCTCTCCCTCCCTCTCCCTCTCCCTCTCTCTCTCCTTCTCCCTCTCCCCTGGGAATAAAGGCAGCACATGCATTCTCTTAGTACAAACAGCTGGACGTCTTGTCTTTCTTTTTCTGATACCTTGGACTTGCTTGTGGTGCGGGTGCCACATACCTTCCCTGGTTAGTACACTCTAGGCGAGCGGCCTTACCAAGGCTTCGGGCAGGGTGGACAGTCCAGTAAATGTTCAGACAAGTGGCTTGGTGCTTCATGCGTCGGTGGCACGTGCAGCCCCTCAGAGAGCTGTTCCTAAGTTGCTGTGCTGCCTCTAGGCAGTCTGCAGACGTGGAAGACTCCTCTAGGGGCAACTCGGTGCTTAGACTGGATGTGCAGGACTCGAGTTGGTGGTAGGCAGCCTTGCAAGCAGGATCAGCCTGGCATTTCTTCCTAGCCTGGAGGCAGCTGTTCACAAGCCTGCTCTCTGTGGGACCGGAGTCTCCTGTAAAGACAGCAGTCAAGGGAGGCTGCAGAATCTGCCAGGGAACACTATCGTGAGCTAAGGCAGGGCAGATTTCCAGTGAGGTCATGAGCAAATCTCAGGGTATCACAAGGCCCTTTGAGGATGGGTATGGAGGGTGCCGGAGAGACGGCTCAGAAGTTAAGAGCAATGGCTGCTCTTCCAGAGGACCCAGGTTCAATTCCCAGTACACATCAGAGATCAGTTTTATTTTCAATCACTTATTATGTGGGGTTTTTTTGCATCTTGGCAAGTATGTATGTATGTATGTATGTATGTATGTATGTATGTATACGTGTTTGTTTGTGTGGGGTATTGCCTGTGTGCAGTACATGAGCCTGTGCATATAAACATCCAGAAACCACAGCGGGATGTAGGGTGTCTTTGTCTATCATTCTCTGCCCTGTCGCCTTGTTACAGGATCTCCCACTGAACCAGAAGCTCATCTTTTTGGCTTGGATGGCTGACCACCAAGCTCTCAGAATCTGCCTGTCTCTGCCCGCAATGCCAGGGTTATAAGTACACACAGTTATGACTGGTTTTTTGTTTTTGTTTTGTTTTAACTGTGGATGCTAGAGATTTGAATTCAAATACTTATGCTTACCAAGTAATCACTCTTACCTACTGATGCGTGTCTCAACGCCCTTTTAGTGGTTTTCTTCTCTTTTCTTGATAAATGGCCCAGTGTACCCCAGGAATTCAGGGGGCCTTGAACTCTCTACCCTCTCTCCTTCCTCATACTCCTGAGTGCTGGGATTACAGGTATGAGCCACCGTGCATGACACATTTGTGAAATTTACCCATAGTGATGAGAACTTGCAAACCGCAAAAATCCATGGAAGGTGACGGTAACTCTTGTCACTTACCAAGCATGTGGCCTGCTTGCTTTCTTTCCTTTTCTTTAAATACGAGTCTTACTCTGTAGCCTAGCACAGGTTGGCCTGGAGACAATCCCCTCAGAAGCCACCACAGTCACCTGAAAGTCCTTGTTGGTTTTTTTTTTTTTTGAGCTAGGGCTTTAAGTCATCTATAGTTGAGGATGACCTTGAACCTGATATTCCTGCCTCTACCTCCCAAAAACTGGGATTCCAGGCATGCACCACTGTGCCCAGTTTAGAAGCCTCGTCTGGGATGGAACGAGGAGCTTTTCTACCAAGCCTGAGAAACCACTGCGGGTGGTTTCTTTTGTTCTCTGACCTCCAAGTGCGTGCCATATACATCACCCCCAGATAAGTCAACAAAAAAAGAGGAAGATGATGAAGAGGAGGGGGAGAAGGAGAAATCATTGCAGAGACGGCTCAGCTCTTAAAGAGAGAATAGTGTTGTCCCAGAGGACCCGAGTTCCAATTCCCAGCACCCACGTCAGGCAGCTCATAACCGCTTGCAACATCAGTTCTGGGTTATTCAACACTCTTTTCTGGCCTCTATTGGCACTTGCACTCATGCAGTAAGGGAGAGAGATCCACAAATACACATAAATAATAAAATACATCTTTTTTTTTTCTTGGTTTTTCGAGACAGGGTTTCTCTGTGGCTTTGGAGGCTGTCCTGGAACTCACTTGGTAGTCCAGGCTGGTCTCGAACTCACAGAGATCCGCCTGCCTCTGCCTCCCGAGTGCTGGGATTAAAGGCATGCGCCACCAACGGCTAATAAAATACTTCTTAAAAAAAAAAGGAGCCAGGCGGTGGTGGCGCACGCCTTTAATCCCAGCACTCGGGAGGCAGAGGCAGGCGGATCTCTGTGAGTTCGAGGCCTGGCTGGACCGACAGCCTCCAAAACAATGCAGAGAAACCCTGTCTCGTAAAACCAAAACAATAAAAAAAATAAATAAAAAGAAAGGAACCGAAGGGGGCTGGAGATTAAGAACTCAAAGATTAAGAGCCCAGGCTGCTCTCGTGGAGGGCCTGTGCTTAGTTCCCAGTACCCACATTGCGGCACGCCTCTGTCTGTAACGCCAGTCCCAGGGAACCCTGCGCCCTCTTCTGAGCTCAAGGGCTGTGCACACACGTGGAACACAGGCGTATCCAGGCAAAACACGCATGAATACGAAATAGAAGTTTTAATTAGATATAACTTCATATGTGTAAGGTGGGGCATGAGATTGATTTATTTACTTAGTGTGTGTGTGTGTGTGTGTGTGTGTAATGTGTGGTGTATTTTCCTAGTGACTAAGGATGACGTTGAGCAAAAAATGGACATAGTGACACACGCCTTTAGTCCTGGGGCCCAGAAGGCAGAGGCAGGAGCATCTCTGTGAGTTTGAGGCCAGCCTGGTGTACACAGTGAATTCCAGGACGGTCAAGACTATAGATAGAGACCCTGTCTCAAAAAGAAAAAAAGAAGGAGAAGGAGAAGAAGATGGAAAGAAAAGACCTTTACCAAAAGAGGGACGTGGATTTAAACATGTTGAGGAATTCTAGAAAGCTTAAAGAGATGCTTATTACAAACAAGTATGGGTTAGTGGTTGATTGAGAGAAATGTCACAGGTTTCGGTCTCTCTGCAGTCACTGAACCAAACAAACACTTAACTGGACCAAACGTTGAGTCCTAACCGGTTCCCAAGAAAAAGCTCTCTCTGCTGGTACTTGAGGGAGCCTGAGTCTGGCAGATTCACAAGCCCGTCTGGCAGATTCACAAGCCCCTCAGGTCACAAAGAACTTGAAGGGATTTAAATTTATATTTCAAGAGGAAAAAAAAAAGTAGAGATTGTTTCCTGGATTGTGAAACAGGGGCTTAATTCAGGGCAAGATCATAAATTGATACAAGACACAGATGTTTGCTTTAATTGACACCTGTGTTTTCTTTTCTTCTTGGCTGGTGTTGGGAAACTCAATCTAGGGCTTTGCTCATGATAAGCAACAGGCCCAACACTCAGTGATATCCCTAATCCTTCTTCTTTTCTTCCTTTTTATCTGAGGCGCTGCGCTGATGACTGGAGATGGAAAGCCAGGCAAGTGCTACCACAGATCTATATTCTTTCCCTTCCTTTCTAGCATTACATATATTTGAGACGGATTCTTCCTAGGTAGCCAGGACTGGTTGGAACTTGCTATGTAGTCCAACGGCTCTAGAACTCCCCATGTAAATCAGGCGGACCTTGTCAAGTAGACCTATCATTCATTCTGCTTCACTAGCTAATGAAGAAGGTGTTTAATGCTTAACTCTGACCCTAACATGCAGCCACAGGTTAGGAGTAGTGGTGGAGTCTGTCAGTAGGCAACCCAGTCAGACTGATGAGTGCTGAGATCACACCACACCAACTTTTCCTTACCTACTTGGACCTAAAGAAACTCTTTCAGAGATGTAATTAGTGGCTGTGTGAAAGCCAGACATGGTTGGCGCACGCCTTCAATTCCAGAACTCAGGAGGCAGAAGCAGGTGGATCTCTGTGAGTTCAAGGCCGGCCTGGTCTACATAGTGAGTTCCAGACCAGCCAGGGCTATGAAGAGAGACTGTTATCTCAAAAAACAAAACAAAACAAAAAAACAAAAAGCACGGTGCTCCCCAGACATGGTGGCACATACATTTTTCCAGCACTCAGGCAGTAGAGGCAGGTGATCTCTGTGAGTTCAAGGTCAGCTACGGCTATATAGTGTGACCCAGTCTCAAGAAGAAGACTTTAAAAAGGCAGATGATTTCTCTTGGAAGAATGGGCACACTCAGGCTCCCCTGCCTGTAATCTTACGTCCAGCGTTGAATCATGGCATGTAAGCATGTTGTTGTGCCTTTTCTAACTGGTTCTGACTGGTTTCATTAGAGAAGGACTAACTGACAGTCTCTGCTTTGAGGGCACGAGAGCCTCATCTGTTTCTCTCCAGTGGGGTTCCTTGCATGGACACCCATTTATGGACAAATGAACCAAAAACAAACAAACAAAAAAACAACCAACAAATATTAGGGAATGTAGTGAGTCCAGCCTAGCTCAAAGTTAGAACCTAGAACTCATATTTTCTGCCAAATTTAGAATGATTTTTTTAGTCCATGATGCCACTTCCCTGAGAGTGGGAAGTCCCCTTTGTGTTTGGCGTGGGGTGAGCAGTGGTATTTTCTACTCGATTGTTAAAAACCCCCAGATAACCTTTGTTCATATGCATCACTTGGCAGCTGCTGGACAGCAGTGGGGTGTGTGTGTGTGTGCAAGAGCTCATGTACACACATGCTGTAGTGCCAGGGCCTTAGGAATGATGCAAAGCAGGTACACTCACATCCATAAGCCCCGGTAAGGCCACCTGAGCAGAAATTATTGCACGTGTTACTGTGGAATGGATCTGTCTGTCATTCCTCTTCACCAATTAATGAGGAAGGTATCTGCTTAATGCTCATCTCTGACCCTAACAATCAGCCTTATGTTGGGACTAGTGGAATTTCCTGGTGGGCAGCCAAGTTCCAATGATGAGTTCTTACTGCCAGATTTACTGATGGAGACAGGCTGTATCCACTAGTCCCTCCCATTTTTCCTTTCTCATCTAAGTTTCCTGTGTGTGTGTGTGTGTGTGTGTGTGTCTGAGTGCACATGAATGTGTTTATGTGTGTCATGTGCCTGTGGAAGCCAGTGATCTATGTTAGGTGTCTTCCTTTATTGTCCTCCACTTTTTTTTTTGAGACAGGGTTTCTCTGTGTAGCTTTGTAGACCAGTCTGTCCTTGAACTCACAGAGATCAACCTGCCTCTGCCTCCCGAGTGCTGGGATCAAAGACGAGCACCACCACTGACTAGCCACTTTCATTTTTTTTAAAGATTTATTTATTATGAATACAACATCCTGCCTCCATGTATGCCTGCAGACCAGAAGAGGACACCAGATCTCATTACAGATAGTTGTGAGCCACCAGGACCTCTGGAAGAGTAGCCAGTGCTCTTAACTTCTGAGCCATCTCTCCAGCCCCCGCCACTTTCATTTTTTGAGACAAGTTTTCCCACTAAATCTGCAGCTCATCCTTTTGGCTAGACTGGCTGACAAGCAAGCCTGTCTCCACCCCCCTACACCCCACCCCTGCTGCTGATGCTACAAATGTGAGCTGCTGCTGCCGGCTTTTATGTTAAGTACTGGAGCGCTGGAGCTCAGGTCCTCATGCCTGCACAGCAAACGTGCTACCTCTGTGTGCCATCTCCCCAGGCACACACTATGCCCCTTCCCACAGGGTATTGCTGTATCTAGCCCAGGCTGGCCTCAAACTCAAGACCTTCTTGTCCTAGCCTGGACAGTGCTGGGATTACAGCACCATGTCCAGCTTGACCATATTTCTCTAGCACCATCTCTGGTGTGTGTGGTCTCTTGCTCAGGGTTTCTTAAACTTGGGCTAGGTTGTGTTTGCTTGTTCTAGGGCTAGGCTGTGTTTGCTTGTTTGTCTTGTTCTGTTTTCCCACTCGGGCTCTGGCAGGAAGCCCCACAGTGAGTGCCTTTCTGTCCTCGTTCCTAAAGTCTTTATCATTCTTCCCAGGGACTGGCTCTTAGGGGTCTCTTCCTTGGGCTAGAAGAGCGAGCGTGGTTCTGAATCAGCCCTGAACTATATAATCCCACACAATGTGCTGTGGACCAGTTATCCTCTGGGGAAGGCACTGTACCGGGCACCCTGCTGGGGGAAAGCCAACAGGGAGTTCTCTACACCAATTCTGTGGGATTCCTAATGGTGGGCACGCATGTGTCTCTGACTCTTTTGCCTGCTCTTGGGCCTCTTTTCCTCTCCTTGGGTTGCCTTGTCCAGTTTCGATATGAGGGCTTTTGCCTTGTCTTATTGCATCCTGTTTTGTTTGCCATGTTTGGTTGTTGTCTCTTGGAAGCCTGCTCTTTCACTCTTTTCTGAAGGGAAACAGCAGACGGGCGGTGGATCTGGGGACAGGGAAGGTAGATGGGGCTGGGAGGAGGGGCAGGAGGGGAAACTGTCACAGTATGAGAGAAGAAAAAACTCAAAAAACCTAAAAAACCTTTATCTCAGGACTTGGGAGGCAGAAGCGGGTGGATTTCTATGACTTTGAGGCCAGCCTGATTTATATAGAATTTTGGGCCAGCTAGGGCATCATAGTGAGACCCTGTCTAAGAAAAAAAAATACAAACAAACAAGCCAAAAACAAAAAAAAAATCCACAAGCAAGCAAGCAAACAACATCCTACATCCAGCGAGACTGGGGATTGTAGCTCAGCTGTGTGCTCTGCCAGCATACTCAAAGCCTTTGGTTCTGTCCCCAGGAGGGAGGGTGGGGGAAACACACATCTGTAATCCCACCACATGGGACGGGGGAGCAGGATTAGAAGTTCAGGGTCTTCTTTTTTTCATAGCCAGCCCCAGAACAGGGCCTCTACATGAGACTCTCCGCCTTAAAGTTCAGTTAACTAACTAACTAACTAACTAATTTTAAAAAGAAAATCCTGCGGTGGTGGTGCATGCCTTGAATCCCAGCACTCGGGAGGCAGTGGCAGGTGGATCTCTGTGAGTTCCAGGACAGCCAGGGATACATAGAGAAAAACAATATTAATTAATTAATTGAAAAATCATATCCCAGTACTGGAAGAGAGCAGGCTGGTGGCAACATTCTCAACAACGCAACGCAACGGGGCAACGAGGCTAGCCAAATTCAGTTGACAAGCCTGTCCTGCGTCCAGTCCGCACCGATTCTGCTAGTTTCTGCTCCCTTTAAAACGGTACGAAAGAGTTGAAGGCCACTCGGAGCCGAGGGCAGCCTCTGGCCAGAGTCTCAACCTCTTGGGGATGCTGACTGGGCAGTGCCTGGGATTCAGCTTGTCCCACGGTTGATTTAGACGTAGAACCCGGGGCGAGGAGATGCGTGGGTGGCCAGTTTAGCTTTGCTAGGGCTCCATGCTCTCAGAAAGCGGCCCCCTTCTGACACCTGGGCTTCCCCACTCTAGGTCCCCAGCCTCGGAAGGGACAGAAGGGACGAGACCACTAGGCAGCCAGCCGCGCCCCCACACTTGTAGCTCCAGCGGCCCTGCAGCCCCAGAGGGTCCTGCACGGGCGACACTTACCTGCTCCAAGGGGCGGCAGCAGCAGCAGCAGCAGCAGCAGGGCGGCCAGCGGCGGCGGCCGTGGGCACCCGGAGCGTCCCATGGCGGGGTGCGGACGCCGGGTGTGCGCTCTCCCGGAGCTCTGCCCGCGCAGGGTGCTTTTTGCGGGACTCTTCCAGCTGGGCTCCCCCGGCCGGCACCTCCCACCGCCGCCTCCCGTCCCTCCTCCCCGCGCCGCCAGCCTCCCACTAGGGTCGCGGGCACCGCCCTCCAAGTCTGCATCGGGCGAGCCGGCGGGCGGCTGCTTCTTAACCCAGACCCAGAGTGGGCCGGGAGCTCAGGGCCGCTTGGAGTCAACCGCGTGAGCCCCTATCTGCCAAACCCTACTGTCCGCGGCCAATTTCCCGGGCAAGGCTACTGCTGTTAGGTTTTATCTGCTAGAAACAAAGCACTTTTTCCTCTTTGCGAAACCTCCCCGAGCCGTCCAGGAACAATAACAGCCACAAATGAAATCTTGTAACAACACGAGAATCAACCAGGTGTGGGTTCGCTCCCGGAATACCGGAGGCAGGAGCAGGAGGATTGCTGTGAGTTGATTCTAGCCTGACCTGCATAGTGAGTTCCAGACCTGTCTGGGCTACAGAGTGACACTGTGTTTTCTCACGCCTTTAATCCCAGAATTTGGGAGGCAGAGGCAGGTGGGTCTCTGTGAGTTCCGGGCCAGACTAGTCTACAGAACTAGTTCCAGGAAAGCCAGGGGCTACACAGAGAAACCCTGTCTCGAAAAACCAAACCAAACAACACAAACACACAAGACCAAAGCCAAACCAAACCAGGAAACCTTGAAGCACCACAAAGGTTTCTTGATTTCGTGGTGTGTGTGTGTGTGAGTTTGCACATCTATTATCTCATTTGTCCTTAGTATTTCCACGGTTTTGTGATCATTAAAATCAAGAATGAAAAATGGCCCCAGACTGGTGAAATGACAGAGGAACATAAGCAGGGCAGGCTCAGGAGCTTTGGTAAATCCAGCTGCTGCTCCAAGACTAAGTCCCTTTGACCTATGAGGGCAGTCGTCAAAAGGATGTTCCTCCCACTCTGACCCTTAGTTCCCCCAGCTAGCCAGATCAAACACTGATCAGAACTGAGACCTGGCTTGATTGATAGAGCGGGGGTGGGGGTGGGGTTCTGGGTTCAGTCCCCAGCACAGCACTCCAGAGTGGAGGCAGGAGTACCACAGGTTCAAAGGCAAACCAGTCTGGACTGGAGACCTCGTCCTCAACCACCCCCCAGCCCCGCCAAATCACTGAAGAGAGTGACTGGAGAGATCACCACGTAGGAGTCCCGCTTTCAGATGAGGAGGCGCAGCTGTGCCAGGATTCAATCAGCTAGGAACTGCCATGTCTAGAACGCCTCACGGCACCTGTAAGAACAAGGAGAATTGTCAGGCCTGGGCTTGGTTCCCACCGGCTTCCCGAGTAAAAACTGAGTAGGAAAAAAATTAGAATTTAGCAGCTGCCGGGCGTTGGTGGCGCACGCCTTTAATCCCAGCACTTGGGAGGCAGAGACAGGTGGATCTCTGTGAGTTTGAGGCCAGCCTGGTCTACAGAGCAAGTTCCAGGACAGCTTCCAAAGCCACAGAGAAACCCTGTCTCAAAAAACAAAACAAAACAAAACAAAAAAAAGAATTTAGCAGCATCCCGAAGGACAGGAATAAAGGGTTCCGTCTCCTAACCCCCCCACTTGAGCACCCCCCCTCCTGCCACAGCCCGACTGGCAGAGGGCCAAGAGGGAAGGCACTGTGAAGTACAATATACCTCTGAGATTTATTGGCTGTTCCGTCTGAATATGGCCATCCTGCTGCGGCCTCTGGGGGGCATTTGCAGATGTAATCAGCCCAGAAAGAGAGTCATTCCAGCCAGGGGTGTAAATCACCCTTCGCAAAGCTGGAAGAGAGACATGTGGCCCTAGATAAGAGGAGGGGTGATGCGGCCTCTCTGCCCTCCCCTCCCTTCTCCTGCCCAGGGGGAGCTGACTCCTGGTCTGTAATGCACTTGAAATGGAGTTTGTGCTGCATTTTAATCTCTATCTGCCCTGCCAGTTTTACAGGAGAGCTGTGAAAGTGAACATCTGGCCACCCAGCTATTGTACAGGGGCAGGTTTGCTCCCAACTCCACCCCCATCCCTAAGGACCCAAGCCTTCCCTCTTCAGTGACATCAGGAAACCTGCAGCTGGAGCACTCGCTCGCCGATGGCCTCACCTTGGCACTTCATTCTTGAAGGAGTTTCAAACGGGATTCACAAAGCAGAAGGAAACGGATCTCAGGCAGCCGGGATGCTAGGAACGAACCAAGCTCCAAGAACTCACAAAGGTGTGGTGGGCTGGCCAAAGGGTACCCCCCCACTTCCCCAGCAACCAAACTGTGTCCAGCTCATAGAAGAAGAAGAAGAGGAGGAGGAGGAGGAGGAGGAGTGCCAAAAATATCTTTCCAATACTGCTCCCATAAGAATGACCAGGAATTTGGGGACCGTTTGGTGTGGTGGCACACACCTTTAACCCCAGCACCCAGCAGGCAGAGACAGGTGAATGAATCTCTGTGAGTTTAATGCCAGTTTTTCCATCCGAGTTTACCATCCCTATGCTTTAATGAGGATCGGTGACCATGGGTGGGGTGGGGGGAGTTGAGGAAACCTCTGCAAATAAACATGACTCCCAGACCAACACGGCCAGCGCCCCAGGATGCTCGGCCCACCAGCCATGTCCTCAGACGGTCCACACCTGAGAAGCACGTGGCCTCATTGCCCTTGGCAAACTTACAGGCAATGGCAAATGAGCCAGCCGTTTCTACACAGATGGTATTAGCCACCATTCAGTGTCTTCTTACGATAGACTACATGCACAGCTTTGGCTAGGACAAAGTGATAAGGACACAGGCCCAGCCTCGGGAGGCTTCGATACCCACGGTTCCCAAGTCCCTGGGTTCCACTGCATTCGCATTCGCAATGCTGATTTTCTCTCTTCTGGTTAAGCTAAACGATTGTGTGTTCTGCCACATCCCCTTCCTGTTGAGCTGCTGGGAACTCGTCCCTGGGAGTTGACAGGCCCTGAGAGGAGGGAAGGAGTCAGCGGCCAGGCAAGGATGAGCCAGGCATGATGGTCAGGAGAATCTTGCAGTGTACCGACTAGCAGCCAGAATTCCGTAGGCAGGGATAGATCCGTGTTGTTCCAAAACATAGGTTGTGTCATTTCTGGTTTTGGACATGTGCCTCACTTTCTCTTGCTCATCTTTTAGTCATCATTGACAGAGCAGAGTTATCTTTGACAATCATTTCCCCTCAAGTTTAATCATCATTGGTCAACAGTTATCTTTTATAACCCTTTTTTTACTCATCAAACCCACATCCCGATTTCTAAGAACCTAGAGGCACATGACAGCTTGTTCTCAGGCTGGTAGCTTTTGTGGCTACAAGCATGCTAGACCAAAATAAAATCTCCAAGCCAACCCAGGCAGATTACCATGTCCCAGGCGGTGTATTATTAACTCTTAATGGTCAGAGTGCCCGAGAAAAACCCTCAGGCCAAAGCTGCTGCAATTATTAAAATTTTGGCATAGTGGGGGCTGGAGAGATGGCTCAGAGGTTAAGAGCACTGACTGCTCTTCCAGAGGTCCTGAGTTCAATTCCCAGCAACCACATGGTGGCTCACAACAATCTACAATTCAATCTGGTGCCCTCTTCTGGCATGTAAACAGAGCACTGTATATGTAATAAATAAAATAAAAATCTTAAAAAAAATTTTGGCATAGTACAGTTTACACTTTATACCTTTACAGAATTTGTGTGTCTAATCCTGGCATTCTGTTGTTCTTTGGTCATTAAGACATCACAGTGGCTTTGCGTGTGCTAACTTTTCTAAGAAAGGGAGGTCCTGACATCTCATTCTCTTAATCATCATTCTGTGTAGGGCAGAGATAACTTCAGCTAATCTGACTTTGTTGCTGGGTATGTCATGTAATCTCCTGGGTGTATAGCGGGAAGAGTTTTGTAATCTTGTAATCTGATCTATGGACAACTCCTCTAGCCCACTGAACCTTGTTGAGCTTTTTAAGTTGACTTTGTTTTGATTATCTCGTTCCTGAGTAAGTACAGGGACAGATGTTTCAAAGAACATCTCCTAGCCTCATGAAGAGACCTCTGGAGTCTTTACGTGTGTCACAACCTCCAAGGCATAAGGAAGACCTTCAAGTAGATAAGGATGTCTCCCTAAAAGCAGGAGGGGGTGGTGTGTTCAGGACTTTGCTGAGGGAGCTCAGAAGCAGTACTCGTGGGAGAAGTCTTAAGTGACTCATAGGAAAATCTCCATCAACTCAGTATCCCCCAAGTTGTACAAATATTAAAAGTGCCCCCCAAGTAGCAACAGGCATATCAAAACCAAAAGCGGCACGGTGGCCATCGTGCAGCCCAGCTTTGCTGGGTGTCTGTTGAGCAGCTGTGCTGGCCTTGTGACTTTCACGGTTCCCGTCAGATACGGCAGCGCCACGGAGCGTTGATTTCTGAGTTGGAATTATAGTACAGTGAATAGTGAAGAGTACACATTACCCAGGTTCAATGCTGTCCCAGCACTGGGCAGAGCAACAATACAGAGTCAGTTTTCTGTGCTCCATGTCCTCATCTGTAAAATTAAGCACAATATATCATATAAAGTTTATGAGAAGTAAGTAAGTGCATACCGGATGTGGGATTCAGCAAGTGCCCTCGATGGAGAAAGCGCTGAGCAAACTGCCGCCTCACATGGGGGGTGCAGGAGTCCGCTGTTCCGTGAACTTTGCTGGCTCCCACCCCCTGGATTGGTATTCTGTGCTTTGGCTTGATGGCTTGGGGGGGGGGTCTCAAGTGGCTTAGGCTGGCCTTCATCTCCACCAGTGATTGAGGATGACCTTGAACCCCAGCGTCTCCTGTCTCCAACTCCCCAAGTGTTCGTGTTACTGGAGTACCCCATCACACCTGACTTTACCTTGTAAGTTCCCTTTTCTTTTCCATTTTGTTATTTATCGCTGTGTGTGTGTGTGTGTGTGTGTGTGTGTGTGTGTGTGTGTGTGAGAGAGAGAGAGAGAGAGAGAGAGAGAGAGAGCACCACACAGCGCATGTGTGGAGGTCAGAGGGCAGCTGCCTTAGTTTCTGTTTTAGAGAAGAAAGAGTTTTTTTAGGGCTCACAGTTTGAGGGTCAGAGTCTGTGATGGGCAGGCGAGATGCTGGAGCCTTACGTGTTGAGCAAACAACCAGGAGACAGAAAGAGCTAAATGGGGACAGGGTGGACCATTGCAACCTCAAAAGTTTATCCTTCAACAAGGCTATACCTCCTAACCCTTCCCAAACAGTCTTACAAACCAGGACCCAAATATCCAAACGAGTGAGCCTATGAGAGACGTTCTTACGTAAACCACCGCAGTGACTTTCAGGCATCAGTTGTTGGTCCCGCGCACCCACACTGAGCTCAGACTTGCACAGCAGCCTCTCAGTCTCTCTCAATCCCTCCTCGGATTCCCAAGGGCAGGGACCCTTTCACATTTAAACACCGGTGGCATCAGGAACTGACAATTCTGTGTATGCATGTTTAAAGAATTGTCCTTTCTATACTCCTGGTCAGTGACTTTCAGTGTAGCCTTGGCTGACCTGCAACTGGCTATATAGACCAGGCTGGCCTTCTTAAGCTTGCAAAGAGTCTCCTGCCTCTACCTCCTGAGTGCTGAGACTTGTAGGCATGGACCACCTCATCCCCCTTGTGGTACTTGGGGTAATATTTGCCTGAACTGAATGAGAAATAGCGTATGCCTCCCACTTTATGTTCCTAATAGAGTTAGCCAGACACTAAGCTGACACTGATAACTACTCCATTTTCAGACCAAAAGATTTCCATTCTTTATTACCTGACAAATATCAATTAGTTGAAGGCCACCAGTCAGAGCTATACTTGTGCTTTAGTTTCTGCCCTTGGTCTATTTTTGTTTTGTTTTGTTTTTCGTTTGTCGAGACAGGGTTTCTCTGTAGCTTTGGAGGCTGTCCTGGAACTCACTCTGTGCACCAGGCTGGCCTCGAACTCATAGAGATCCTCCTGCCTCTGCCTCCCGAGTGCTGGCATTAAAGGCGTGCGCCACCACCACCTGGCTTGATCTATTTTTCTAAGCCTAAGCCATGCATGAGTTCTCAGGAACCTACAAGTGTCATACAGATTTAAAGCCCAGTACATTGCCCACTCCCAAAAAGGAACACTGCTGTTGGATGAGGATTTGGTAACAACAAAATTCATGAAGTATGGGAGGGATACAAGGGCAGGTAGAAGGAAGAACAATCAGAATGTTTTATACATATATATGAAAAAGTCAAAGAAAGAATTTAATTCTTTAGATCCTTATCAATGCTGCTTTAAACCCGAACAAACGAACAACAGCAGAAAAACATGAAGGATAACTACTATTTACTAGTTTCCTGCTTTTGTGTGAGTGTGAGTGTGTATGTGTGTGAACGTGTGTAACTGGGTGTGGTGTGTGTAATGTATGGGAGAGTATGTATGAGTGTGTGTGTGATGTGTGTGAGTGTGTGTGTGTGTGTGTGTGTGTGCTGTGACATGTACTCTTGAGTATCTTGGGCTGCTCATGAATTCACTAAGTAACCAAGGATAATCCTGAGTTTCCGATCCTCTGTCTCTACCTTCACCGAGCTGGAGTTATAGCTGTGCTCAAACCCAGGGCATTGTGGATGCCAGGGACTCTACTGAACTGCATTCCCAGCCCCTTTCCCTTGTGAGACAGGGTTTCACGTAACCCGGGCTGCTCCGAAACCCACTGTGAAGGCCAGAATGACCCTCAACTCCTTATCTCCTTGAAATTACCTCCCAGGTGCTTGGATTAAAGTGTGCTGCCATATCCGCACATCTGTTTTGTCTGAGACAAGATCTCACACTAGCGCAGGCTACCCGAGAACTCACTATGGAATGCAGACTCTAGGCAATCTCACTGCCTCGGTCTTGAGTGCTGGGATCACAGGCACGAGCCACTGAGGGGAGCAGTTATGTGGTTTAGCTCTCCTCTGTTGCTCAATCTCTCTCAATTAGTTTGTATGTATGTAGTGAGTTTAGACAATCTTGTATGAGCCTGGCCTACAGAGTGAGTTCCAAAGACAGCCAGGGCTACACAGTGAAACCCTGGTTCAAAAAAAACAAAAATAGACAAATAAGATGACTGAAATGTGAACACACAGACACCAGTATCTTTTTTTTTTTTGTTTTTTTTTTTTGTTTTTTACATGACAGGGTTTCTCTGTATTGTTTTGGAGGCTGTCGGTCCAGCCCGGCCTCGAACTCAGAGATCCGCCTGCCTCTGCCTCCCGAGTGCTGGGATTAAAGGCGTGCGCCATCACCGCCCGGCGACACCAGTATCTTATTGGGGTTTAAACCTGCATCTCTAGGGAAGATTTATCAGGGATTAAGCCACTAGGGACAGTAAGAGTCCAGAATTCCCCCCCTTACGGTTGGGTCTTTTGAGTACTTTCTTCCTGATGCTACTGGGAACTTCAGCTTGGTCCTGGCACTTGTGTGGGTAGAACTGGGGAGCGGTGCCCTCCCCTCTGCCCTCACTCTCTGCTTTCAGAGCTGAGTGCAAGGGAGGAAGCCTTCCTTCCCACAGCCAGCTGCAGTCCAGGCTCCGGCTGTCTTTGAGAACGCAGCAGTGCCCTCTGCTGGGGAAGCTCTCACTCAACAAGAAAGGCGGCCACGCCATGGCTCCGGTCCTTTCTTACCCACTTACATCAAGAATTGCCCGTTTGTCTCTAGCTATGCTATGTGCTTCCTCCTTTCCTAAGCTTGAGCTCTCAGTCACTAGTACCAGAGCTGTGCGTCTCGCCACACAAGGAAGGCCAGCCCACCTCCAAGGGCTCTGGGAATGTCGGGAGCACTGCAGAGCGGTTTGGAAGATCTTCCTGAAGTCTAACTGGAATTGCCTTGCACTTCCATTTTATTTCTTCCTTTTTGTTCTTTTTATTTATTTATATATCTATTTACTTTTGGTTTTTCGAAACAGGGTTTCTCTGTGGCTTTGGAGGCTGTCCTGGCTCTTGTAGACCAGGCTTGTCTCGAACTCACAGAGATCCGCCTGCTTCTGCCTCCTGAGTGCTGGGATTAAAAGTGTGCACCATCAGCACCTGCTGTTTTGTTTTTAAAACAGGGTTTCTCTGTGTAGCTCTGGCTGTCCTGGCACTCGCTCTTGTAGACCAGGCTGGTCTCGAACTCACAGAGATCCGCCTGCCTCTGCCTCCCGAGTGCTGAGATTAAGGGAGTGTGCCACCATGCCCAGCTTCTGCACTTCTATTTGAACCTTTATACATCACAAATCTCTATTTCCAACTAACCCAGATCCTATACTTTATCCTTGAGATACAAAATGGAATGGAGCAGTTTGAAAATTAGAAAAACAAAACAAAAACAAAAACCCCAGCTACAGACAAGAAAATCATGGAATCAAATCAGAGCTGCCGTCTGCCTAGGACACTTTTGCGCAACTCACAGGAAGCCGTGGCCCAGAAGTCACTGTCAGGACACTGCTGAAGTGTGACTTTCCTTTCTCTTTGTGATTTGTTTTCCAAGACAGGGTTTCTGTGTAGCCGAGGCTGTCCTAGAACTCTCAATGAGAGAATCTTAGAGGGTTTTTTTTATTTTTACACCCCCCCCCCCGCTGGGAGAAACACCATGACCAAAAGCAGCCGGGGACCGAGAGGTTTTTATGTCATCTTATAACTCTCAGGTCACACTCCACCACTGAGGGAGTCAGGACAGAGCTCAGGGCAGGAACCTGGAGTCAGGAGCTGATGCAGAGTGGCCTGCTCACTCCTTCCTCAAAGAGTGCTTATTTTTATTTCACATGCACTGGTGTTTTTATCTCCGTGTATGCCCACGTGAGGGTGTTGGACACCTGGAACTGGAGTTAGTTATGAGCTGTCACATGGGTGCTCTGGAAGACTGGCCAGTGCTCTTAGGCACCGAGCCACCTCCCCAGCCCTGACTGCCTTCCTCTTCAGTCCAGGCTCACCAGCCCAGCGTGGCACTACCGAGAGTGAGCTGGGAACTCCTACACCAACCCTCAGCCGAGCAAACGCCCCGCAGACTTGCCTATCGGCTAACCCTATGCAGGGACTTTCTTCCTTCTCTCGACATGACCATAGCTTCTGTCAGATAACATTTAAAAACTCACCAGCACAAGATAGCTGTGTGGAAAGGCACTGCCTAACCCTCATGTCCCAGATTCCAGTTCCAGGTGATCTAGTGTCTGTCCTATGATGGCCTCCGGTACCAGGCACACAAATGGTACACACACACACACACACACACACACACACACACACTCAGGCAAAAGACTCACACATAAATTAGTCTTTTTTTTTTTGTTTTGAGAGACAGGGTTCCTCTGTATTGTTTTGGAGCCTGTCCTGGAACTCACTCTTGTAGTCCAGGTTGGTCTCGAACTCAGAGATCCACCTGCCTCTGCCTCCTGAGTGCTGGGATCAAAGGCGTGCGCCACCACAGCCCGGAATAAATTAGTAAAGTTTTTTTTTTTTTCTCAAAGAAAAGACAATGAAAAACTTCACCACAGACTTTATCTTGTTCTTTAACTCATCATCTTCCTGCCATGACCTCTTAGGAATACAAACATTTACCACCAACACCAGTTCAAGAATACAATAGAAACTTTCCCTTGGTTCCAGAGCAATGGTTACTATGCCTTTCGGTTTTGTTTCCATTTAGTGAGCTAGGGAATCCAGGAGCTGAGGCTGGCCTTGAACTGAGCTTCAGGTCCTCTAGGTCCACCTTTCAAGCACACAGGCAACAGGCATCTGCTCCATACTTGACAGAAATTGTTTTTTGTTTTTCTGAGATGTTTTCCTTGTAGCTCTGGCTGTCCTGGAACTTGCTGTGTAGACCAGGCTGATTTCAAACGCAGAGATCCTCCTACCTCTGCCTCCCGGGTGCTGGGGTTAAAGGTGTGCGCCACCACCACCTGGCAACAGAAAGTTTTAAAACTCAGTTTTGTGAGTTATAACCTCAGAAGTTCAGACTTAAAATCTGAAATGAAGGGGGTTGAGAGACAGTTTAGAGGTTAAGAGCACTGGCTGCTCTTCCAGACGTCCCAAGTTCAATCCCCAGTAACAACATACCATCTATAATGAGATCTGGTGCCCTATTCAAGCAAAGCGTTGTATATATAAATCTTTTTTAAAAATCTGAAGTGAGAAGCCGGGCGTTGGTGGCGCACGTCTTTAATCCCAGTACTTGGGAGGCAGAGGCAGGCGGATCTCTGTGAGTTCGAGGCCAGCCTGGTCTACAAAGTGAATTCCAGGACAGCCTCCAAAGCCACAGAGAAACCCTGTCTCGAAAAACCAAAAAAAAAAAAAAAAAACCTAAAGTGAGCCATGAGTCTGTCTCTCTCACTCACTCACACACACACTGCTTCACTAATCTGTGCTTTTGTTTTTAGTAACCTGTTACTGAAGTAGGCACAATATGTTTTTTTTTTTAATTTCAAACAAATTCATGTGATGCTGAGGGTCCAGGATCTAAAACTTGAGCACTAAAGAACTTAGGCATTATCAGGTTATACCTTTAGGTCTCAAAGTCGTATGTGTATGCCTGTGTAAAAGTCATGTGTTGTACATGAGCACGTGTGCCTGTGTGTGTGCGCGTGCTCGTGTGTGTGTGTGTGTGTGTGTGTGTGTAAGTCAGGACATCACTTCAGGCGCTGGCCTTCCTCTTCCACGCTATGTGAGTCAGGGTTTCTTCTCTGTTGTTCACTCGTGTGCGTGCTGGCTTAGCTGGCCTGAGACTTTCCACAGCTTCTGTTCCCACCTCATTTCACAGTAAGGGCACGAGGACGACAGATGCAGTTACAGTGCTTGGTTTTACGTGGCTTCTTCAGTTTGGAACTCAGGTCCTTATGTTCACACAGCAAATGTTTTACCCATGAGCCATCTTGCAAAACAGTGTTTTTTTTTTTTTTTTTTTTACGAGACAGGGTTTCTCTGTATTGTTTTGGAGGCTGTTGATCCAGTCCGGCCTGGAACTCACAGAGATCCGCCTGCCTCTGCCTCCTGAGTGCTGGGATTAAAGGCGTGTGCCATCACCGCCCGGTGTTTTGTTTTGTTTTTTAACTTACTTTTATTTTATGTTCATTGGTGTTTTGCCTGCATGTATGTCTGAGGGTGTTGGGTCCCAGATAGTTGTGAGCTGCCATGTGGGTGCTGGAAATTGAACCCAAGCCCTCTGGAAGAGCAGTCAGATGGCTGCTGAGCCATCTCTCAGGCCTGCAAGACTGTACTTTTAAACTGTTTGTAGGCTGGAGCTTAAACTCCAGGTTCTTGTGAGCCTCATCCATGACTTTTCTCCTTATGTAGATCTTGGAAGAGAAGGGGCTCACAGCCACACTTCTCCTATGTTTACTTTACCACTGAGTAAAGATCAGGGGAAGAAAACACAAAGAAAGAGGGCAGGCAACGGTATCAAAAAGCCATCTGGTCGGAGAAGTAGCTGTTTGGCTTATGGGAGACCTGGAAGAGAACTGTATGAACTCTCTGAAGCAAAGCGGATTCCTCTGCTAATCACCCAGCAAGCATCCAGCCAGCAGCTCCCCGACACCCAGCCAGTCCTCAGGGTTAGCATTTGGTCAGTATGACAGCCTGTTGGCTTATAGATGTCTGGAGGCTTTTGTCTGGTGGGTTTTGTTTGCTTTTTATTTGTTTGTTTGATTTTGAGACACAGTTATGTGTAGGCCAAGCCTGCCTCGAACTCACAGAGATCCTCCTGCCTCTGCCTCCTGAGTGCTGGGACTAAAGGTGTTTGCACCACCATGCCTGACTATCCCCAATGTTTGCAAACAATCGTGTCGTTAGTGACAGGATGACCATATGTCCAGGGTCTCCAGTGTCTTCCCTGCCGCTGTCTTACCCACTATGGGAGGCTCACACCCTTCTTCATCAGGAGGGCAATCTGCTCCGAAAGCTGCCGCTCCCCTTCCTGGGCTTTGCTCTGGTTTCGCCACATCAGCAGCTCAGCCTGGTGGTCCTGGTGGTGCATAGGACAGTAGCCCTGGGGTTCGCACAGCTCCTGAAAGGTAGGGACAAGGTCAAGGACTCCTTAGACTCCTGAGCTCTGCCTAGAGGAACAGCAGCTCTTCTTAGGGTACTTACAGCCCCTGCAGGCTGCAAGCTAAAGCTCGCTCCTCTGGGCCTGAGCCCCCACTCCCCGCATCCTGCCACCACGGCTGAGCTCTTCCAAGTCCCTTTACCGTATATTCTGGAAAGAAGTCTCTGTAGCCCCCTTTGAGGATATACAGCTCTGGGTAGTACAATGCTGGATACTGGTTCAGAGCTCTGTCTTTTTCTCTCAGAGAACGGCACCTTTAGAGAAAATCCAAAGACGGGTGGGGTGACAGGAGCCCATGGGCCTTGGGGGTGGGGCCAGACCATGCCCACCTCCCTAAAGAACCATTAGGATTGGGAATGTACTCGGGGGTAAAGTACTGTCTAGTATACAGAAGACAGGGTTAGTCCTCCAACACACCAAACCTCTCACCTGTTTGCTAACCAAGGTCCAAACAACATTCTCTTTTCCCTGTCCTCCACTGAAGCTTCATCCCCAAATCTCTTTGTGTGTGTGTGCGTGTGTATATGTATATGTATGTGTATCTGTATGTGTGTGTATGTTGTGTCTGTGTGCGTGAGTCTGTGTATGTGCGTGGGTGTGTGCATGTGTGTGCGTGCGTGCGTGCGTGCGTGTGTGTGTGTGTGTGTGTGTGTGTGTGTGTGTGTGTGTGTGTGTGTGTGTGTGTGTGTGTACATGCTTTCTGGTCTGTGTTTGTAACTCTACCAGCTGAGTTACATCTCACAGTGCCCAATTCTTCCCTTTAGGGCTCAGACTTTTGAGCCCCCTGCTGGCAGCGGGGGTTATTACACGGCTTGTTCACATCTTGGTGGATCGGAGAGCAGGTATGGGGCAGGAAGCAGGGCTGGACTATAACCCTCACGGCCCACCCCTGTGGGCTATGTGCACTAGCCAAGACCCATGTCTCAAAGGCTCTACCCCATCAAACTGTAGGGAAGGTGTTCTTTCAAGTTAGTCTCTGTCTACACTGCCTGCCAAGTCTCATTAAGACACTCACATTCGGGGGCCTCTCTCTGAGGAGAATTCACAGAGGAACACAATGATGACTCTTTTCTGGATGTCCAGAGGGACAATAGGCTTCTTCAGAAAGAACTCGTGCAGTTCCTTCTGGCTGCACAGGTTTATGGCTCCCTGCAGAAAGAGATGTCAGCAAGTATTCCCTCAAGGGCTTGTGTACAGTCAATACTCAGGAATGCCCGCGATACTATTCTGGGATATTTAGGCCAGAAAACTGGGCAAGAAGGAATTCCAGGGCAGGAGCCTAAGTCTACCTCTACTGTCTACCCCAGGGCTTGGCATAGAGTTTGGTGTGTGGCTGTGCCATACATGTTCACAGAAGTGGACCCCAGGAGTACAGGTTAAACTACGAGAACTGTTTGTGGAGATTAGATGTTTGCAAAGTGCTTCCTGGTTCCTGGGTTGTTTTTACTTGGAGGTTCCCATACAAAAGGAGACTGCCAAGGAGGGAAAGGGACTGCTCAAGGTACAGACTTCAAACAGCAGTAAAGACTTCTGCTGATGCGATCCAAATCTTTGTCCCAGGCTGGATTTCACCCCTTGCCCAAGCCTCTCTCTCGATAGTGGTCACAGTGACTCACCAGGATGTGTCCTCCAAGGTACTCATACGGGTAGCGGCAATCGATGATGTAAAACTTCTCGATCAGACCCTGGAACTTTCCAGACAGTAAAGCAGCCACCTGCACAGACAGACATGATGGAATATGCTGTCCACTGTCACTCCGAGAGAGAGGAGCCACACCATGCCTTTTCGAATACTCCCATTAGTCACCCCAGACTGTACTGTAGGAACGACGTCCACATTCAGTCTGTACTTGCAACATGGCAGTGGTTAAGCCCGATCCCGCCTGTGAGTGAAATGTCGGGTAGAGGACACCAATGACTGACCCTGAGGCAAGCACGACCACAGTCGGCCTCTCAGGAGACACCGAGGAGAACAAAGGCAGTAGCTAGAGAAGCCAGTTTAAGAAGAATAGGAAATGGCTCCCCGTTCACCGAGGCTCTCAGAAAGCAGGTGAGATTTGTATCTAAAGGAGAAAATTTAAAACTACTGCTAGAAGCACATATGAGCTCAGTCTTTCTAGAAAGAACTTTGCAAGTACATATAAAAATACATGAAATTAGCCGGGCGGTGGAGGCAAACACCTTTAATCCCAGCACTCGGGAGGCAGAGGCAGGCGGATCTCTGTGAGTTTGAGGCCAGCCTGGTCTACAGAGTGAGTTTCAGGACAGCTTCCATAGCTATACAGAGAAACCCTGTCCCGAAAAATCCCAAAACGAACAAACAAACAAACCATGAAATTATACCTTTTTTTCTTAAGTCCTTGTTTTGAAGGCAGTCCTTGTTTGAAGAGAGAGTCTGTGTTTCCCAGGCTGTGCCCAAACTCACTATACCTGAGGATGACTCTGAATTCTTGAACCTCCTGGCCTCCCACCTCCTAATTGCTGGGATTTTAACCATGTTCCACCACCCCCAGCTTCTTATAACGTTCAGGAATAGTACACACACCGATATTCATCTTAGCATTGTTTTAGGATACTGAAACAAATGTTCAGTAAGAGGAGTTTAGTTAAATAAATTACATATTCTTGTATAACAAATGCTATAGTTTAACAGATTATCTTTTGTTTTTTTGTTTGTTTGTTTGTTTGTTTTGTTTTTAAGACAGGGTTTTGTCCTGCTTTTTGTTTTGTTTTTCCAGGCAGGGTTTCTCTGTTCAACAGTCCTGGTTATCCTGGAACTCTCTATAGACCAGGCGGGCCTCGAACTCAGATACACCTGCCTCTTCCTCCCAGGAGCTAGGATTAAAGGCGTGCACCACCATTGCCTGGCTTTTTTGTTTTATGCACTTTCTTTCTCTCTTCTCTTCTCTCTCTCTCTCTCTCTGTCTCTGAGACAGGGTCTATATAGCAGTGACTAGTCTCAGATGTTAACAATTATCTCACCAAGTTAACTGCAACACTATGAATTCATCATTACTCCATTACTTCATTTTTTTGTTTTTCTTTCCCTTTTTTAGATATTTGGGTTTTTTTTTCCGAGACAGGGTTTCTCTGTGTTGTTTTTTGGAAGCTGTCCTGGAACTCGCTCTGTAGACCAGGCTGGCCTTGAACTCACAGAGATCTGCCTGCCTCTGCCTCCTGAATCAAGATGTGGGCCACCACCACCTGGCTTAAAGGAATCCTTTAATACAGCGTCAGTTGAATAAGAGCCTGTGAGTGGGCAGAGAGAAAGAAGTACAGAACTAGGTGGCTTTAGGGGAGCACAGGCAGACAGCTCATAAGATGATGTGCCCAGTTACCATCTCCAGAAATCTGCTCACCGTGTCTGGGGTGATGTACTTCAGATCTTGGTGTTTCCCTGACACCGTTGGAAGCACACACTCCTAGAAAGACCCAAGAACTCAAATTACAGCAGGAATTCCCAACCCAAGCCTTGATCAAAGATTTCCATGGTGTCCTTTCCAAGTGAGTCTTTTTTTGTTTTGAGACAGGGTTTCTCTGTGTAGATGTGTTCTGGAACTCGCTCTGTAGACCAGGCTGGCCTCTAATTCACAGAGATCCGCCTGCCTCTGCCTCCCAAGTGCTGGGATCAAAGGTGTGAGCCACCACCTGGCTGAGACCGTGCTTTTAAAAAACAATAACAATAACCAAAACCCAAGGGCCACTGAGGTGACTCAGCTTGTGAGGCCTGGACCCTCACGATAGGAGGGAACTAACTTTCACAAGCTGTCCACCGACACCACACATATGGCATGCACATGCATGTGTACATGTAAACATACAGACACATGCACACAGTAAATAAAGTGAAAAGGAAAGACTGGAAAATGAAAAGTAACAGAACACTCTACCTTGGTATCGTGGTCTTCCAGGGAAAACTCCATTGGCTCCTCTGAAATCTCTTCTTGGTCTTCTAGATTTAGATTTTTACTCAGCTTGGGAACTGCAGTGATGGGACTCCCCAGAGACCTCACTTCAGTGTCCATCGAGACTCCATTTCCCTGCCAAGTGTCCACAAGATCAAAACCTAAATGGGGCTGAGTGTCAAAGTGTGTCTACGATTCTGCTATCAAGAGGCCAGTACAAGAGGTTAGCAGTCTGAGGCAAGCTTGAGCTGCCTATGCAAGCTCTGTCTCAATGAAAGAAAAAAAAATTAAAACTAACAAACAAGAAGTCCTTACTTCATTCAGAACACTTGTACCATGTACAAAGACTGACTCAAAATATTCTTTTTTTTTTTTTAGATTTATTTATTATATATACTATGTTCTGTCTGCATGTATCCCTGCAGACCAGAAGAGGGCACCAGGTCTCATTATAGATGGTTGTGAGCCATCATGTGGTTGCTGGGAATTGAACCGAGGACCTTTGGAAGAGCAGTCACTGCTCTTAACTGCTGAGCCATCTCTCCATCCCTGACTCAAAATATTCTAATATAAATGTAAGAATTAAAACCTACAACATCGCCGGGCAGTGGTGGCGCACGCCTTTAATCCCAGCACTCGGGAGGCAGAGGCAGGCGGATCTCTGTGAGTTCAAGGCCGGGCTGGACCGACAGCCTCCAAAACAATACAGAGAAACCCTGTCTCGTAAAACCAAATAAATAAATAAATAAAAAATAAAACCTACAACATCAGGACTCCAGAGACCAAGGAGGAGGATAGCTTGAGTACTGGCATTCAAGGCAGGCCTGAGCAGCACAGCAAACCCTCATTTCAAAAGAGAACCTGGTGCAGGCTGTTATCCTAGCACCCAGACTGAGAGAGCAGGGTTGTTGTGACTTTGAGGACACAGCCTGGACTCCCCAGCAACTTCCAGGCTACCTGAACTATAGAGTGAGAAAGGAAGAGAAAAGAAGGAATCAAAGGCCTAAGAAAAATTCTCACTCCAGAGTTTAACCAACTAAAAGATCAGAGAGCCCATAGCTCCCCCTTGGCCTGCTTAGACTCAGCGTCTCACCCAAGCCAGTGTAGGCAACGTCAACAGGCCAGAAGTCCACAGCCTACTCTGTAGCCCATGACACTCCAGACATCACTGGATGATATTCAATAACTCACCAGCAAAGGAAGGGGAGAAGCCAGAGGATCTCCAGGCGTGTTTTGAAACCTTGGGATCCTAGGTGACTCCCACTGCAATGTCTTTAGATTGGTGTTTATCTGCATAAGAAAAATGGCATTGACTGGAGGACGAGAATTAGTAATAATGCCAGCCAACAGTATAACATCTGATCAAACCATCCATAACTCTCATGAAACACATACACATAATCATTTAAACGTGTATCTGAAGACAGATAATGCTTTGGATCTCATGTCTGACCCACAGATTTGCTTTGGAGAATACAAATTTTATCATCATAAGCAAAAGGATAGAGGTGAAAGACAGTTTGCTTGGGAAGGCATGTTTGTGTATATGTGTGTACTACGTGTGCATGTAGTGCGTACACTTACAAACACAACATGATGACTTCAAAACAATTATTTACATGACGGTAACAGCAATTTGTATACTTAAACTGATCAACTGAACATAACTGATAACTTGCTATAGTGCTAGGTTTCTGTCCCAAGGTTAAACCTTAGGTAGAAAAACCAGAGGCTTTTTTTTGTTACAATGATGGAATTTGCTTGGCTGGCATACTGAAGTATAAACAGTTGTAGGTTTCATGACATCAAGCAATTGCTCATTTAAAGAAATAAAGTTAATATATCTAGGTTTCCATTAAACACTTACGTTTTCTTTATTTGCAGATAAGCCACGCACTGCATCTTTCTTTCTGTGGCTATGGTCCAAAGCGTTTGGAGTACTACAGAGAAGCTGAACCTAAAAGACATTGTCTGCTGAAGGCATCCAACATCCATCAGCCGTGCCGCCAGTGAACCCTGCCTCCCACCCGAGAAACAAACCCACAGTCAAGCAAACCAAAGGGAGAGTCTCAGCTGGGCCTGGTGACACATGCCTCAAGTCTCAGCACTCAACAGTGCTCCAGCCAGCCAGGCACAGTGAGACCCTCTATTAAAGGGGAGGAAGATAGGGAGGCAGGTGGGTAGGTCGGTCTACCTACTGGGATGCCTTTCATAGGGTCCTGGTGATGGTTCCTGAAGATTAAAACAAAGATGAGCCACTAGTCAGGTAATCCCCAAACACAGTTTGGTCCTTAGTGCTTAGGGGCATACCAGTTCTTCCTTTCTCCTGTTCAAGGAGGCCTAGCCTTTGTTGGTTTGTCTCTTCCAACAACAACATGTAGGCTATTAAATTCACCAGCATAAACAAACAGGATAAACGGGCACCAAAGGGAGTTTGCCTTACATCTCTTATTCCCGGTCTGGTGCCAAGGATGGAACCTAGGGTCTCATTTAGGCAAGCATTCAACCAGTAGACATACCTGCCATTCCTGTCTCACATCTTTTTTTTTTTTTTTTTTTTTTTTTTTTTTGGTTTTACGAGACAGGGTTTCTCTGTATTGTTTTGGAGGCTGTCGGTCCAGCCTGGCCTCGAACTCACAGAGGTCCACCTGCCTCTGCCTCCCGAGTGCTGGGATTAAAGGCGTGAGCCACCACCGCCCAGCCTGTCTCACATCTTACACAGGGACAATCTATGACTTAGTAATGTGCCGACACTGATGACAGGAGACTCTTTAATGAATGAATTTCTACCTTTCCTCCATTTCCACCCAGTATATACAGCACAGTAACCAAAGCCAGGCCTGTGGTCTCTACCACTATAGACCAGCATTCAGGAGGCCGGAAGGAGGATCACTATGAGTTCAAGGTCATAGTGGACGGCAATGAGACCCTGCCTCCAAGAAAAATATATGAAACAGAAATCAATCCAGGAGGTGGTGTCACAAGCCTTTAATCCCAGCACTCTGGAGCCTGATCTACAGAGTGCCAAGACCAGCCAGGGCTACATAGAGAAACCCTGTCTTGAAGAAGGAAAAAAAGAAAGAAAAAGGCAAGCAAAGAAAAGCCAGTTCAAAGACACATGAACAATGCAAGTGAGATTTCACACATGTCCCTAAAAACTGCCACAGGACGCTTTTAGTAAGTTTTGATCAAAACAGGGTTTCTCTGTGAAACAGTCCTGGCTGTCCAGGAACTCACTCTGTAGACTAGGCTGGCCTCGAACTCACAGAGATCTGCCTGCCTCTGCCTCCCAAGTACTGGGATTAAAGGCGTGCACCACCACCATAAGTTTTGAAAGAGATGAACTGAAATCAGTTTTTATTCCATGTACACACCTGGCTAGATATTTTAGGATCTCCAAGGGATACTTTATCATAGTTATAAGAACAAACATAAAATGCTTGGTAGTTGCTAGATACATGTTTTGTTTTGTTCTTTTTCTTTCTTTTTTTTGTGGGGGTAGAGATGGGAGATGGTGTTAAGATAGTATCTCACACAGCCCAGGCTGGCCTTGAACTCACAATTATCTTGCCTATGAGTCCTGAAATTACAAATGTAAACCATAGTACCAGGTGGCTCTGATGTTTTTATTGTTGGTTTGGGTGGTGTTTTGTTTTGTTTGAGACGGTGTCTCAAGTGGCCCAGCTTTCTCATTTCTATTTAATGTTTTCAGTAGCTGTTTATAGAGTGCTACTGTTATCTCCTATTATGAAGAAAGTTCGGTCAGGCATTGGTGGCTCTCGCCTTTAATCCCAGCACTGGGGAGGCAGAAGCAGGCGGATCTCTGTGAGTTTGAGGCCAGCCTGGTCTACAGAGTGAGTTTCAGGACAACCTCTAAAACAATACAGATCAACCCTGTCTTGAAAACCACCCCCCCAAAAAAAGAAAGTTCAATCCAATGAGTTAAGAAACTGTGTGTCATGCACAGCTGGTGAAGTAGTAAACCACCAGAATCTAGACAATCTTATTCCTGACCCTGCATCCTGAGCCACGGAATTACAGGACCTCTCAGACAAAGAGATGCCCACTGCATGAGTGCAGTTTACCATTTCCCTTCATGTAAAAACAAGGTATTTCTGTGTAAGGTGGTTTAAAACAGCCTGCGTTTAACAATGCTCTTTAGACCTAGAAAACTTAAGTGAGACTCTAGGCCTCCAAGCCCACTACTGTCCCAAGTCTGTCTTCAGAGTGTGCAGAGGCCACAGAGGACGCCCTGTGTTTGGTGAGGGAAGACTCAGGCATGCAGACCATTTAACAGCAGAACTTACTTCTCAGTTAACTGCACATCCTGGGGTCCTGAGGAATCCAAGGAACCTGCAATCAGTTATGAAGAAAAATGGGCTGGGCAGGCAGCTTGCTGGGCAGAGTGCTACCTTAGTGTGCACAAAGTCCTAGGTTCAATCCTCAGCATTGTGTAAAAGCATGGTGGGCCCACATCAGCTCTCCCATAGTCTGTTACCCAACCACCACCACCACCGCACAGACACACGCTAACAAACAATAATTAAAACAAACACGCACTGGGCTGGAGAGAGGGCTCGGAGTTAAGAGCACTGCCACTACCACCACCACACAGACACACGCTAACAAACAATAATTAAAACAAGCATGCACTGGGCTGGAGAGAGGGCTCGGAGTTAAGAGCACTGCCACTACCACCACCGCACAGACACACACTAACAAGCATGCACTGGGCTGGAGAGAGGGCTCGGAGTTAAGAGCATGGCTGCCCTTGCAGAGAACCCGGGGTGTTTCCAGCATCCAAGCGGTGCCCACAACCATTCTCAACTCGTTTCAAAGGGCCTGGCACCCGCTCTCACTTCTTTGGGCACCAGGCACACATTCACTTCACCTAATGAATAAACACAAATGGAAATCAGGTAGGTCACAAGTTCAAAGGCTACAGAGTGAGTCTGAGGCCAGCCTGGTCTACAGAGCGAGTTCCAGGACAGGCTCCAAAGCCACAGAGAAACCCTGTCTCAAAAAACCCTATCTCAAAAGACCTTTTTCTAATGCATAGCCTTTTTGAGACAGGGTTTCTCTGTGTAACTCTGCTGTCCTGGAACTCACTCTGTAGATCACGTACCACCACCATCCAGCTGCATAGCAACTTCTACTACTGTTATTTTCTCTTTCCGTTTATCATTCAACTAAGAAACTATCTAACCTCAAAATTCCTACTTTTAGACAAATGTTCTCTCTCAGGATTTTGGTATGTAGCAGCGCTGGCTGGCCTCTGCAGCCCAAGAGATGGTCAGCAGTTAAGTCTACTTGTTACTCTTCCAAAGGACCCAGGGTCATTTCCTAGCATCCATAAAGTAGCTCATAACAAACAGTCAGTAATCCCAGTTCCAGGGGATCCAACCCTCAACTATTCTTCTGACCTCTGAGGGTACCAGGCAACCATGTGGTACACTTGCATACCTGTATGCAGAAACATTTATACACATAAAAGGTTAATAAAAATTAGTTAGTTTTCTTGTTAAAGACTGTACCCCTACCGGTGTCATCGAAGTCAGCCGAAGTGATAAGCGGAGAAGCAGACATCTCTCCATTGCTAAGATTTGAAAGATCAAGGCAACGTTTTGGGGTCCCTCTGTTGAGACATATAAACATATCAAGATTCCTATTAGGGTATACTATCCTAAAAAAGGTAGAGATCATGTCTTTGAAATCTTTCTCAATTACTGCCACAAAAATCTAAACAAAATCCAAATAAATCTAGCTGCTATTTGGAAATAGCTCAGACTGGGTTTGGAAAAACAATCCTTTACTTTTTCTCTATTACAGTAATGTAGCCAGGCGGCGTTGACACACACCTTTAATCCCAGCACAAGGGAGGCAGAGACAAGCGGGATCTCTGTGAGTTCCAAGACAACCAGGGCTGTTACACAAAGAAACCCTGTCTTGAACAAGCAAAAAAAAGACAAACAAACAAACAAACAACAACAAAAACACCAAACCAAACCAAAAACAATAATGTGAGCCTCCTTTTCTTCTCACCAACACATCAAGATGGGAGTTATTTGAATATATCTAAAGGGATCTTCTTTTAGAATTTTTTGTATGAGCACACACTTGTGTGTGAGCACAACTCTAGGAGACAAGGGCTCTCACGTGGGCCGTCGGGCTTGATGACAGGTGCCTCGACATGCCAAGCCATCTCACCTGCCTAGTGAGTAGGATCTTGACCTCTCTACCCTGTTTACCCTGAACACAAATTCAGTTTCTCTCTGGAACTCTACTATTCCTCAAATCCTGTTTGCTAATGAGGTGTGAAGACAATATGGCCAGACTCTAAAGTACACTAAAACTGATACAACTCATATAAAACATAATAATAGAATTTTCAGAGTTCTTCCTAGACAGCACATTGATTCTGGCATGACAGGAAAAGATTATTCCTGTTAAGATAGAAAATGATTTTTCTTCTTATTTGTTTGTTTGTAATAGGGCCCCACTAGTTGTCCTGAAATTCACTAGTAGCCCAGGCTGGCCCTGAACCTGTGGTCATCTTGACACAGCCTCCAGAAAGGTGAGATCATAAACAGCCTCCACCAAGTCCCATTTAGAAAAAGACTTTTTTTTTTTAATTGTTACATGGAAAGGAAAGAGTCACACGTCCAAGGTCATGGCTGAGACTCAAACCCCCAACCTTGAAACAGGGAAATTCAGGAAACAAACCTGTTCATAAAAACCAAAGTCAAGGTGGAAAACTAAAAATTAATTTGAGGGATGGAGTGATAGCTCCGTGGTTAAGAGTTTGCTGTTCTTCCAGAAGACTGCAATTAGGGCCCCAGCACCCACTTTAGGCAGAGTAACCACCTGTAACTTCAGGCAGGTACAACACTCTGAGCTCTGAGAGCACCTACGGACAGGGACAGGGACAGGGGCAGGGGCAGGGACACCCCTACACATCATTAAAAAATAAATATTTTTAAGCCGGGCGGTGGTGGCGCACGCCTTTAATCTCCCAGCACTCGGGAGGCAGAGGCAGGCGGATCTCTGTGAGTTCGAGGCCGGGCTGGACCGACAGCCTCCGAAACAATACAGAGAAACCCTGTCTCGTAAAAAATCCAAAAAAAAATCTTTTTAAAAAATGAATTTACCCAGATAAAATGCTTAGGTTTGTCGAGTCGAGAAGCTTGTCTCCTGGAGATCTGGGGAAATCTTGGGTAAAAGAAGTGTTTCTTTCCAAAAGTAGGTTTAACATCTTCCTCTGACTGAACCTAAAACTGGGTGCTGAAACAGAACTCTCCTCTCTTCTCGAAGATGGAAAGGGTCCGGTAGACATGACTTCGGAGTCTTCACCGAGGCAGGGGGACAGCTATCTAGGAGAAGCACATTCCAGATGTTCAGCTTTCCCAGCCTCTCCGCCCTGTGCAGGGCCTGCCTAAGCTCGGTTGGAGGAGCACCCCCAAAGAATCGAGTGTAACCCACACTCTGCCCGGTCCGCACCCCCAAAGAATCGAGTGTAACCCACACACTGCCCGGTCCGCACCCCCAAAGGATCGAGTGTAACCTGCACACTGCCCGATCCGCATCCCCACGGGATCGAGTGTAACCCGCACACTGCCCGGTCCGCACCCCCAAAGGATGGAGTGTAACCCGCACACTGCCCGGTCTGCACCCCCAAAGGATCGAGTGTAACCCGCACACTGCCCGGTCCGCACCCCCACGGGATCGAGTGTAACCCACTCTCTGCCCGGTCCGCACCCCCACGGGATCGAGTGTAACCCACACACCGTCCGGTCCGCACCCCCACGGGATCGAGTGTACCCCCCTCTCCCCCCGGAAGGTCACACTGCCCGGGGCAAACGCCGACAGACGTCGGGCAAGCTCGGGCCTGCGGAGGAGGAACGGGGAGAGGACTGGCGTGACCCGGAGACAGGGATCTAACCGAGGCGATTCGGACCCCGGCCCCGAAAGCACCCCGCAGGGACCATCGGGCGTCCGGGACCCCCGAGCGGACCCCGCCCTCGGCTGACCTTCGCTTCACAGGCAGACTCGGCTCTGGAGAAAGAAACTCCTGCACGGGAGCGAAGGCTCCGCCGGATGAGGAGGACCCAGAGGCGCAGACGCGGACCGCGGTCTTAGAGATGGTATTTGTAAGCTCGGGGCCTCCCCGGAACTGGCAGGAGGGCCAGACCAACAGCCATAGGCCTGGCCATTCAAACCTTCCGCTCGCCCAACAGCCTATCACCGCCCTCCTGCCTGCGGCGTCAGCCAATCAGCGTGCCAGCCTAGACTCCCCCCCCCTCTGACCAATCGCTAGGGTCGTACCTCGCCGCGTAGGCACCTCCGCCGCCGCACAGAGAGCATGACGCTCATTGGCTCTCCCTCTGGCCAATCGCCACGCCCTCCAAGCGTTCCCTTCCCTGAGCCCCGGCCACCCCGGGAGATTTGAATGGAGCCCCGCTGGCGATGATGGTCTGCGGGGCCTGCTTCCCAGTTGGGAGGGTTTCCTTCTCCTAGCTTCTTTCCCGCGTCGTTCCTCTTGAGGTTTGCTTAGCTTTCGGCTGGGAATGGAGCGTTTGCCGCCGGTGCGGCCGGTGTTGGGGCATGGCAGGTGTGTGTTGATACTCAGCCGCCCCGGGCCCCTTCCAAGGAGGCGTTCTGGGAAGAAATCCCTTTGCGGGCAGTGGAGGGATCGCACGTCCTGACGTCATCCTTACGGCGTTCTAAAGGGCCTTAAACTTGGGCTCCTTAAGTAGCTTTGAACATTGACACGATTACCTGTAGGGAGGGGTGTGATTTCATGCCTGTAATCACAGCACTTGAGAGTGCGCCCCATAGGAGGAGGCGCGCCCTGAGTCTGAGGACAGAGCGAGCCCCAGCTCACCCCGGGCTAAGGCGAGCCGCTGCGAGAGCAGGAGGAGGAAAGGAGGATTATTAGAGTAGAGGGGGTGGTAATAGGAATGGAACCCAGAGCCTTGGGAACGCTGGCCAGCTACTGTCGTTTAGCTGATACTCCCCAGTCCAAGAAATTATTTATTTAGCTTTATTTTTAATTAGGTGCATGTGGTGGTGGGGGGCGGGAGGGGATTTGTGCAAGTTGGAAGGTCAGAGGCAATCCCTCCGTGCTGGAGTTACTTACTGGCAGTGCGAGCTGCCCGACACGGGTGCTGGAAAACAAACTCCATTTCTCTGCAAGGGCCGTATGTGCTTTTTTGTTTGTTTTTGTTTTTTGAGATGGTTTCTCTGTATTGTTTTGGAGGCTGTCCTGGACCTCACTCTTAAACCAGGCTGGCCTCGAACTCACAGAGATCCGCCTGCCTCTGCCTCCCGAGTGCTGGGATTAAAGGCGTGCGCCACCAACGCCCGGCGCCGTATGTGCTGTTAACCACATCTCTCTCCAGCCCCTGAGCCCAAGAAATTCTTAGGTTTTTTTTGTTTGTTTGTTGTTTTCTTCCTTCAAATCTTTTTTTTTTTTTTTTTTTTGGTTTTTCGAGACAGGGTTTCTCTGTGGCTTTGGAAGCTGTCCTGGAACTAGCTCTTGTAGATCAGGCTGGTCTCGAACTCACAAAGATCCGCCTGTCTCTGCCTCCCAAGTGCTGGGATTAAAGGCGTGCGCCACCAACGCCCGGCCCTTCAAATCTTTTGAGAGGGGGCATGAATATAGATGAGATAATAATTGACATGAGTTGGGGGTGAAATCTGGGTGGGAAACTTAATTAATGTACACAGTGATCACCTGGAGACCCCGAGAAACTGTGGATTCTGATTCAGTAGGTCTGGGTATGGGTAGCAAAGCATTATGCTGTACTTTTTGTGTTGTCATAACTTCAGCTTGAAATCCCTCTGCCTCAACCACTTGAATTCTGGGATTACAGGCATGTGTAATCATCTAGTGTCCTGTACCCTGCTTCAGAATAAACTTGAATCTCTTTTTTATAGTTTATTTAATGTACATTCATGTAAGTCTGGGTGAAGGTATCAGATACCCTGCCATGTGGGTGCTGGGAATTGAACCCAGGTCCTCTAGAAGAGCAGCCAGTGCTCTTACCTGTTGATCCATCTCTCCAGCCCATTTTTCATTTCATTTCATTTCTTTTTTTTTTTTGTTTAATGGCTAGTTGAAGCAGGATCTTGTTATATAGCTCTGGTTGGCCTCAAACTCATGATCCTCCTGCCCTAATTACCTAAATGCTGGGATTACGGACATGTGTCACCACACCTATCTTGGAATTTCTCATAATTAAAAAAATTTTAAGATGGGTATGGTAATGCCCACTTGTAATCCCAGCTCTGCAGAGGCTGAAGAAGGAGTGTTACCAGCGTTCACTACATAATGAGACCCATTATCAAAGAAAACATGGGGAACTTGGTGGTGAGAGCTTGCAGTCTAAGCCCTTGAGAGGCTGAGGAAGGAGGATCGAGACAGCTTCTTGGTGTAGCTTTGGAGCCTGTCCTGAAACTCGTTCTGTATACAAGGCTGAGGCTGGCCTTGAACTCACAGAGATCCACCTGCCTCTGCCTCCCGAGTGCTGGGATTAAAGAAAGGCATGCGCCACCAACGCCAGGCACAAACCCATAACCTTTATCTGCTACGAGGATCATGGTGGTGACAGTGGCTGAAAGATGCAGGATATCCATCCTGTGTCTAGATTAGCACCCTTTTTATCTGCAGAAACTGCTCCCCCAGACAGGGGGTGTGTGAACAGTCTTTGTCCTCTAGGACAGAGATGGTAAGTGTGGGTGTCATCGCAGAGCCTTGTCGTGCCAGGTAAGTTGGGAAATAAGGGGGGGGTTTCAAGGGCCTGTGAGATGTGTTTATTATGAAGCGGTCCCACAGAAGCAGACAGATGATAGCAAGGGCACACCTGGCTACCAGTGCCTTCTGCAGCAGGTCCCCAAGGGAGTGCTGCCAGCCACCGTGGGCCCCCACAGCAAGAGTGTTGACCAAATGGCTGTAGCTCACTCCAAGTGATGGGAAGGGAACTGGAAACCGAGTGCTCTACCAAAGGTGAAGAGTGACCAGTTCTCCCGCAATCTAGGCCCCCCAAAAATGAGCTTGAGATTTCTCTCAAGTAGAAAAGGTCTTAGCCCAGAAGACTTTGAAAGCTGGTCCCTGTTTCTTGTTTTCTAAAGTCTTTGCTTTGTTTTGTTTTTTTGCCATCAAAGAATGTGTGAGTTGTGTGAGTACCAACGTGCCTGCCAAAGTCACGGGTAACTTTCAAAAGCTGGTTCTATGCTTCCAGCACAGGCTCTCCTGGGGCTGTCACCTGGCCATCGCCCCTCTCCCCCAGCAAGCATCTCTACCTACCGAGCCATCTTGTTGGTCTCATGTTTCCTATTAATTTTCTTTGCTAGTGTATGAAGGAATGGGCTTTGCTGTGATGTTTTCACTGTATGACTGTACTTCATAATTCCTTGTTCATTTAACTTCTTACATGTTTTGTTATGTGTATGGGTGTTTCCCCTGCATGTATGTCTGTGCACCACGTACATGCCTGTGGAGGCCAGAGGAGGCTATCAGATCCCCTGGAACTGGAACTGCAGACAGTTGAGAGCTACCACATGCGTGCTGGGGCTCAAACCCAGATGGACAATCTCCCCAGCCTCCCTCTTCTGTTTTTAGGTCGCATACATTCCAATATTCTCTCCTCTCTGCTCCCTTTTCACCTCTTACCTCTTCCTCTGTACGCCCCTTTCTGTTTTCATGTGGTCCCCCCCCCAATGTGAAATGCACCAAAAAGTTGGATATCATCCTGAATACAGTTTAAACTTCTGTATAATTCTTTTTTTTTTTTTTTTTTTTTTTGTTTTTTGGTTTTACGAGACAGGGTTTCTCTGTGGCTTTGGAGGCTGTCCTGGAACTCGCTTGGTAGTCCAGGCTGGTCTCGAACTTACAGAGATCTGCCTGCCTCTGCCTCCCGAGTGCTGGGATTAAAGGCGTGCGCCACCAATGCCCGGCTACTTCTGTATAATTCTAATTTCAGTATATGTGCTTGCTGAAGTGAGCACCATTCCTTGTCCCCCTCCCCCCTCCCTCCTTCCCTCCCCTCCCCTCAGTCCCTCCGTGGCTCTCAGTCTCGTGGAGCCTCGGCTGGCCTCAAACTCACCATGCAGTCAGGAATGACACTGAACCTTTGATCCTCCAGCTTCCACATCTGAGTGCTGAGATTTCAGGATCCTAGGTATGTGCCGCCAGGCCTGGCCTCACTGTATTTGCTGGACTGGAGTATTATCCTGTCCTTGGGTAATCCCTGTCTGGGCCTCTGATTCACTGTGATAAGTAAGGAACAGTAACCCTTCCCTTTGACCCCAATCTGACCCATATCCATCGGTTGTTGCCAGGGCACAGCGACAGCCTGGGTTTCACCCTCAAACACCAAACAATAGCAGGAGGTACAGCCCCCGATCCTGGGATGCCCAGATCAGGCAATGGAGGGAGACGAGCCCTGCATACCTGGGATCCCCCCAAGCCAGCCTCTGCACGAGAGGGAGGCTGAGGGGTGTGTCACTGATTTGGCTCCTTCTGCAAGGGCTGGAGGCCGGGCCATACTTTCTCCGATTAGCAAAGATTTAGGTTTTCTTGGGGGTGGGGGGGTTGGGGGTGGGGGGCATCTGCGCGGGTGCATGCTCTCTCGCTCTGCCGCCCCTCCAGGAAGGAGACTAGGAACTTCCTGAGGCCGGTGGATCCTACTCCTTTGGGTGATCTCCTGCATGACTGACTCCAGGCCCCGGAACCCTCAGAGACTTGGGACAAAGGCCAGAAAGAGGCCCAGGTAGCGTCCTGTCCTCTGCCAAAAGCCTTTGGAGCAGGGAAATGGATGGGGTCTGACCCATGAGCACACGAGGTAGGGTCCAAAAGAGGTGGAGGCTGGAGACACACACACACACACACACACACACACACACACACACACACACACACACACACACGGCCCTAAGTTTGCCCTCTCCCACCACAAATAAGATAGGGATCAGGCGTGCTGGTAACCCCTGGAATGCCAGCACTGGGGAAGTGAAAGCAAAGGATCAGGAGTTGTTTACTTCTGTCACTTAAAGTGTGATTTGTGTCGAACGTGAAGATTTCTTTATTACAGAAATAGTAGCAGTAGGATCATGAGTTTAAAGCCAGCCTCAGCTTCATTATATATATATATATATACATATATAGTTTTACCAAACAAAACAAAACCTACAAACAAACTAAAAAAAGGAAGGCAATCAAAAAAACACCCTTGAAAATCGAAAGAAACATAGTTATGGGCAGTGTCAAGCTCTGCTGGTAGGCCCTCTCAGGCCGCACTGTGAAACATGGTGCCCTTCTTTTCAAACGAGTTCTTACGCATGACTTGCAGTGTCTTTTAAAGTTTGTAGTGCTGAGCTATGTTATCCCCTTGTCCTTGAGACTGCTTTGTTTTTGTCTCCTTCCCTTGTATACTTACTGGGTGGTGGTAGGGAGGTGAAACAGCATCTTGCTCTGTAGCTGTAGCCCAGGTTGGCCTAGAATGCACTATGCAACTGAGGGTGGCCCCGAGCGTATGGCAAGCTCCCGAGTCTCTCAAGGGTTGGGATTACAAGTGTGAGTCACAAAGTCTGAATCCGTTTCTTTCAATGTTCTGCAAGTAAGCCAGTGTTAACGTTCACACAACCATTTAACTTCAGTAAGCACAGTTAGGAATAGAAAGGGAACAAGGCGTTACTGGGTGTAGTGGTCCATGTCCTTAGACTCAGCACTGGTGAGGCAGAGGCAGGAAGGGTCTCACTGAATTGTAGGCTAGCCTGGTCTATATAAAGTAAGTTCCAGGATAGCCAGATGTTCACAGTGAGACCCTGTCGCAAAACAAAAGACAAACAAAAAAGAAAAAAGGAAACAGATCTTGATATAACCTTTATCTGCTACTTGGGCAGTCACTTAACCTTTCCGGTAGTTTTGTTCTTTTTTTTTTTTTTTTCATTTGGTGACTGAAAGGAAAAAGATAGTATATTTACTTAAAGCATACAGTGCAAGCTAGGCAGTGCACGCCTTTAATCTCAGCACTCAGGAGGCAGAGGCAGGCAGATTGCTTGTGAGTTTTCAGGCCAGCCTGGTCTACAGACCATGTTCCAGGACAGCCAAGGCTATACAAAGAGATCCTGTCTCAAAAAACCAAAACCAAGACCAAAAGGACATAGTGCAAATGTACATGGCGGTTCATGTCTGTAATCCCAGCGCCTGGGGAAGCTGAGGCGGGAAGAACAGAGTTTAAGGACATCCTTGGCTACAGCAGGAGGTACATGAGACTGTCTCAGGAACAAGTAAAAGGCTTGTAACCAGTGCAAAGGCTGGAAACCACTCTCCGTCTGTCTCCTGTACCCTTTGTCAAACCCACAAGGCAAAGTGAGTCTCCCCCTCCCCCTCCTACGTTTTAGGATTCACTGTGTGACCCTTGGTTGGCTCCTGTACTTGCAATGTTTGACCAGGCTTGCCTCTTCCTCCCAAGTGCTAGGATTTTTAGATGGGGGGCCGCGGCCACACCCTGGACGAGTTAAATTCATTCTTATTTCCACTCCTTTCTCAGTTTGCATACTTGGAGGGTCCTGTTCCCTCCCCTCCTCAGCTCCAAGAGGAAGATCCCCTCGGTCTGCTGCAGTTTACCTGCCACAGACAAGCAGGGTGCAAAAATACAGAAAGAAAAGACATGCTTTTTTAAGGGACTTGCCGCTCCTACCGTAATAGTGAAGTGACTGGACTTACCGCTCTCTAACAAATTAGAAGGGAAACCTAAAAAACTCTGCCCTGCTAGTGATCCCTGCATGAGAGCATTTATTGAAAACTTTCTTTTTTTTTTTTTTTTTTTTTGGTCAGCCGAGACTCCAAATTTCAGAAGAGCCAGGAACCTCTATGTTTTTTTTTTTTTCTCCCCTCCCTTACTTACTTTACACCAGCATGGAGTTCTTGAAAAAGGACTTTTAACTTTGCCTGAGGTGAGAGGTGGTGGTGGAGGAGACTTAATGTAAAGGTGGTTTCCAGTTCCTCCAGAGGAAATACAGCACTGTCGACCCCGGCCCCCCAGAAGCCAGCTTCCTCCCTGGGTCTCAAGTGGTCCAGCCGCAACCACCGTGCTCTCCTTCCCCCGCCCCGCCCCCCGCGCACACCCCGCAACTGAACCACCTATGATGTCATAATCACAATCCCATTACCTCATCCTGCTGGGGGGGGTGAGGCAGACGGGGAAGGGAGGGAGCGAAGAGCCGCGGGCCCGCCTCGGCTGTACAAAAGTGTTTTGGGTGAGGAGGACAGAACAAGACCCGGCTCCACAAACCGTGACGAAGCCCCAGGGTAGTAAACGTTCCCGTAGATCTCGCAGGTAGAAGAAGAGGGGCTCCGGGGGACTCACGGAGCAGGCCCCGGTCGGCGCTTGGACTACATTTCCCAGCAGCCTCCACACCGAGGGTCGGCCCTTTGCCGGGGGTCGTGGGGGGGATGCTCGCAGAAAGGCGGCCGTTTCGGCAGGGACGGGAGACCAGGTGAGGAGGCGGTGGGTGACGGCGTCCCGGGGTCCGAGTTCACCGAGACGGTTGAGTCGGGAAGACGGGGCAATGGAAGGGGCAGACCGGGGCTTTGTTTACCTTTATCCGACATGGCTTCCCCCACGGGCTGCAGGATGTGTTTCCCACTGGGCCCGTCCACTTGCTGCGATATTTGTGGGGGGGTGCCCCGTTAGCGAGGCGACAATCGGGGCCCCAGATCACAGCTGCGGGCCCGTTTCCGACGGCACCGCACCGGGGAGGACCGAGGGACGAGCCGCAGAGGGCTCGGGCCTGTCCGGGCGGCTGCGGGGGACGCTGCGAGCGGGGCCGGTCCCCCCCCGCTCTCCTCGCGGGCCCGTTGGTTCGCGCCAGCGCCTTTTAAGGGCACCGTGGGGCGAACGGAGCGCTCAGAGCTGCTCCGGCCGCGGCCCTGGGAGCCGGAGGAGCCGCGGTAGGTAGCGGAGGGAGGGCAGGTGGCGGTGCTGGGGCCTCGGGGCGGGCGCCGCGGCCGTGCGTCCCTCCGTGCCTCCCCCTTCCCCCGTGCAGCCGCCGGTGCCGCCCGCCGAGCCTCGCAGGCCGCCTCGGCGGGAGGGCACGGGACCCGGTGGGGGAGGGGGGCGGCGGGGTGGGTGCCCGTCCCAAGACCCTCCCCATCCTCTGCGTCCCGAGTTCGCTTCCCGCGGTCATGTGGGGGAGCCCGCATGGAAGGAGGAGAGCGGCTGTCTTCCCCCCCACACACCCCGAGCAGACCCCGGAGTGCCCACCACCCCACCCCACCCCCGCTCGGGGGGGGGAGCAGTGGGATGCCCCATGCCCCACCCCGCGGGGACAGGCAGGGCAACCGAGGGGAGAGGTTGAGGATTAGAGGGGGCCCAGCCGTTTGCTTTTCCGTCGTCGTGGTGGTGGTGGTGTGGGGGGGATGGGTGCACCCCACTTGTCACCCCTGCCTTCGCCAGAGCCATATGGGAGGAGAGCCGTCGGGTACCCACTCGCCTTCTCCCTGCACCTCCCCGCCTCGCTCTTGTTTTCCTGCCGTTTCTCCCAGCGGCTTGGGACTGGGACCTTGGGGGTGGTGGGGGTGGTGGTGGAGAATGCCCCCAGGGGCATGTGTGACTTTCTTTTCCTCTGGCCTGCCTAGACCCTGGCTTGTCCAGGCTTCAGCCCAGCCTCGGGGTCCCTGAAACACAGCTGTCAGGGGTTACTCTCATCCAGTAGGCATTGGGGGTCCAGACGTTACCTTAGGGGGCTTGTCGCCGAGGGAGAGCCCGGCTTGAGAGTTAGGCCTGGCGGGGTTGCTGGGAGGGCCGAGCGGCCTGCTGCCCAGGGAAGGGTTTGAGCCTGCTGCCAGCGATGTTAAGCGGAGAAGTTTTAACTTGTTCTAGTGAAATGTTGAGGGCTGTCTACCCGTCAGATACCACAAAATGGAAGGGGACGAAGGCCGCCAGAGAGGCCTCCTCACACTTTTTTTTTTTTTCTTAAATGTCTGCTTGGGAACGGAGGCCCCTTGCCGAGCTGGTTTGCCTTCTTTTGTGTCCTGGTTTGATTCCGTATGGCTTTCGTTCTGTTCCCCCTCTCAGCCTGGCCTGTTTTAGGAAACTCAGGCAGAGAGTATCAGTTGCGTGGCGGTAGTTGCATTGTTCCAATTACCGCTGTGTGTGGCCGCATCCCAACAAATTAAAATGCAGAAAAATAGAAAATCACTCTCTTCAGCTGCTCCTAGAGAGGGCTGGGAGTTTGCCGTTTGTCCAAATGCCTCGTGAAAGGCTTGCAAGTTTTTTCACGCCCTGCTCCTCATAGCTGGTCAACCTGGGGTCTCTAGGGCAAAACTTGGGTTCCCCTGTTGATTTTTGAGGGCAGAGTTAAGGAAGGTAGGAGCAGAAGTGATTCCCGCTTTAGCTTCTCCCACCAGAACACGGGGGAAGCAGCTGAAGGGAGTTCTCAGGAAGCTGAAACTTTGTTTGGAATGGTAGTAATAATTATGCATGGAAATGATAGTTACTAGCCTGATGATTGGCTTCTATACCTTTCTTCCAAAGAACTTCAAATATATCCCGGGGTGCTTTCTTGTGCTGAGGTGATACCCTCTTTTTTTTTCTTAACAAGGGGTGGTCTTCTCCCCAAGGTCACAGACCACGGAGGAGCAGCCCAAGCCCTTAGGCTCTTCCTTGGTGACCTGGGGGGGGGGGATGACCTCCAGCCAGAGATAGACCCTATTGCTTTCTTTAATGATATCACCACTTCAGGCATGCCAAGGCTTTGCGTAGCAGCGAACAGGAGAGGTAAGAAACAAGAGCCTGTGTGAGCTCCCACTTTTATAGGCCAGTTGGCAAGGTATTATACAGTTTGATAGTTCATACAGTCTCATTCTTGAGATAGAATAAGATTGCTATACCCATTCTATGTATGGGTTAGCAGGAGTGTTAGGCGGTTAGCCAAAACTGTCTGAGCCAGTTGAATTAAGACTTGGTAGTGATGGTGGCCGCTTTCTCTCTCTCTTTTTTTTTTTTAAGCAGGGTTTGTAGCCCAGGCTGGCCTCTATGAGCTCCTATGTCTCTGCTGGGATCCCAGGTGTGTGGGGTCACTGGTTGATTGTTCTGTGCTCCAGGTACTCGATGGGTCTTTTACAGAAAAGGGAGAAGAAAAACGTTGTTGACCTCCCCCCTGAGCAAGCTGAGGCCCCTGAAGTAGTAAATGTGTGCGATTTTGAAGCTTGCTCTTTGACAAAATGTAGTTTGCTTCAGTCATAAGGAAGCATCTTGGTGGGATCATGAAAAAGAGAAAACCTGACTGAATGAAGTCATGGAGTTGTTTTCTATATCTGTAGAGTTGAAGTGTAATGGGAACCACTCTGACCATTCCTTCTCTCGTATAAGAGTACCCACAGTCTCTACGGACGTATCAGCTATTCAGGCCACAGGAGGACTCTGGATCCTCTTCTGAGCTGAAGCAGAAAGCCTTGCCTTGCTCCTCTCCCTGCACTAAGCCCCTGCGGTTTAGGAGAAGGTTCCTTTCTTGGCTTCTGGCTGTAAGATAGAGAGAATATTGCACTAATGTAGTATGGAGATAACCATTTGGGCATCTCTCTCATTTAAGCTGTTTTCTAAGTGGTGCTGATATTCTAGGTAGACACAACAGAGCATAGGCCATAGGCTTCAATTTGCCATCCCCGGTTTATTTTACTGGGTATCTAGAGTGCCAAGTTCAGTGTGTTTCTGAGGCTGTCCTTAGGCTTACCAGGAGAGTGCTATGATCAATTGGTGATGTCTGCCAGAGGTGTGGCATGGGGATGCTGTGGTATGTGTGCCATCTCTGCACCCAGTGCCTCTCTGGTGTTACTTGGGGCTGACCCCTCTGTAATCGGCAGAGTCGGCAGGCATGACGGGAGAGGGACGTCCCAATGGTGCTAGAACGGTGCTGCAGTGGCGGAAGACGGCTCGAGAGTGAGATCTGCAAGAACGACAGGGAAGACATCCATCATTTGCTCCAAAGTGTGCAAGTCAGATCCTGGGCAAAACATGATAACCCTGATCACTGAGCAGCTGCAGAAGCAGACCCTGGATGAGCTGAAATGCACACGCTTCAGCATCAGTCTGGTAAAAGACCAGTATCTCTGCTGCTTCATGATCTTCCCCTTTTTCCCAGAGGCTGTCCGTGGCTGTGATTTTGCCCTTGTTATGTGTTGTATGAAACGTGCTTGTACTGGGAAAGCCCCACTAATGGCTGAAAACCCAGCCCAAGAGGACAGGGCCAGGGACACTAACACTTGGGTGAAAGGGGCTTTGTAATATTTGAAGGGTGTGGATTGTTTTTCCCCAACTTTGGGGAGACGATAGAAAGAGGAGGACACAGGAATCTCTAATCCTGGTAGTCCATGAGTTATAGGAATAATGTATGAGGTCTCTCTAGAAATGTCCGTGCCATGAACCCAAATAATGATGGATAATCTCTCTCTCAGCCTTTGCCTGATCATGCAGACATATCCAACTGTGGGAACCCTTTCCAGCTTGTGTCTGGTAAGGAATCTGTGGTTTATATATGTATGTTTGTTTGTGCTTCTGTCGACACATTTCTTTGATTAGTTTTTAATAACTAGAACTGGTTAACCTACCTCTGGTTTTTGTGGTGGTCTTTTTGTTTTGTTTGTTTTGAGACATGGTCTCACTTTGTAGACCAGGCTAGCCTTGAACTCACAGAGATCTCCTGCCTCTTCCTCCAGAATGGTAGCGTTAAAGGTGTCCTGCCACCACACCAACTTGTTTGTTTTGTTTTGTTTTTAATCGTTTTTGTTTTTCTTGAGACGGGGTTCTCTGTGTAGCCCTGGATGTCCTGGAATTTGCTCTATAGACCGGGGTGTCCTTGAATATGGAGGTCCACGTGCCTCTGCCTCCCAAGTGTTGAGACTAAAAACATGTATCCCTGCTGCCACTGCCACCGGCACCAGCTTGTTTTTTTATTTGTTTTTTGTCAAGGCCACCTTCTGAGAGTGCTCTTTATCTCTGTCTTACTGTTTTGTAGGAAAATCATGTTTAGTTTGCTCTTTTTTGAGGCAGGATCTTGTAAGCCCAGGCTGACCTAGAACTCTTAAAAGTCTTGCTGTGGAGTGCTGGGTTACAGGTGTGAGCTTAGATCAGTTTAACTTTTCTGATGTTATTGCTTTGATGAGGTGATACATTTACATAGTTTAAAAATAGCAAGAATATTATTTTGATAAAAGCCATCGTCTCCTGTTTCCAATCCATTTAGCTCCTAGTTAGCTTCCAGTTCCTTCCTAAAAGCAACTTGTGAGAGCTGTGGCTCAGTAACAGGGCGTTTGGCCGGCATCTGTGAGGTTCTTCCTTTGCTGTTAAGAACTATGAATGGCATGGAGAGGCAACTCCTATTACTAGGGCTTTTACGTTTATTATATAAAATACATGCACATGTGTACTATAGTGTGTGGAGGTCAGAGGATGGTTTGTAGGCATCAGATCTCTCCCACCACATGTGTCTTGGGGATGAGTGAACTCAAGCAATCAGGCTTGGCCTGAATGAAGTACCTTTATCGTTTGAGCCATCTTGTGGACCTGTAAGTTTCTTGTTCTCTTTTTCACATGGGGTGCGGGGTACTGTGCCCATGAATGACCAGTGCGTGTGTGGAGGTAAGGGGACACCTCGCCTCAGGAGTCGGTTTTCTCTTTCTGCCATGAAGCTTCTAGAGATCCAGGATCCAACTCTAGTCATCAGCCTTTATCTGTTGAGCTTTCTTGCTTGGCCCTGCTGACTAGTTTCTTGTACACATACCCAACTAGAATTTTTCTTTCTTTCCTGGTAGTACTTTGGATTGAACCTTGGACTAAGACATTCTTTTTTTTTTTTTTTTTTTTTTTTTGGTTTTTCGAGACAGGGTTTCTCTGTAGCTTTGGAGGCTGTCCTGGAACTCACTTTGTAGACCAGGCTGGCCTTGAACTCACAGAGATCCGCCTGCCTCTGCCTCCCAAGTGCTGGGATTAAAGGCGTGCGCCACCAACGCCCGGCGGACTAAAACATTCTAAGTAAGCTCTCTGTTACAGCGCTGTGTAAGTGGGGCTTGTCTACCCCAGTCAACTCTGCCCCATCATCTGGCTCCCAAATAATAACACAGACGCTTTTTGGTTTTTTGAGACAGGGTTTCTCTGTGTAGCCCTGGCTGTCCCGGAACTCATTCTGCAGACCAGGCTGACCTTGAACTCACAGAGATCCGCCTGCCTCTGTCCCCTGATTGCTGGGATTAAAAGTGTGTACCATCGATGCCCAGTGAGACTTATTATGAAGTGTAAATACTCAGCTGATAGCTTTGACTTGTTACTAACTAGCTTGCATCTCAACCCACATTTCTTGTTTACGCTCTACCATGTGGCGGACTCTGACTGCACCCTTCCCAGTGTCCTCTTAGCCTGGCTGTCCTGCCTAGCCTCTTCCTGCCTAGCTATCCTCTTTATTAACAGTGAGAGCAACGCGTCTTCACAGTGTACAGAAGGCTTATTCCACAGCAGGACTGCATCTCCAACTCTTATTTTGTCTTGAACTTGCTCCGTAGTTGAGGCTGATGTTGGTTCCTAATCCTATGTCCTCATCTCCTGAGTGCTGGGATTACAGGTGTGTGCCACCATGCCCAGATTGCTTTTTTTTTTTAATCATTTTTTCTATGTCACAATGTCACAGACTGACCAACTTTGTGACCTCCTGCCTCAGCCTCTGGGATTACAGGTCTATGCTATGAGACATAACTCATAATTCCTAGCTTTTTAAAATTATACTTATGGAGGGGTGGGGTATGTGTATCATGGCCTGTGGTATTTGATTGGTCCTTTGCTTCTACTGTGTATAATCTCAGGAATGAACGCAGGTCACCGGACTTGGCAGCAAACTCCTTCATTCTCTGAGCTATCTTGTTAGCATCTGGATATCTATATACAAGTAAAGCAAGTATAAGTCTATCTGCATTGTTTTTTCCTGCTAGTCTGTGTTTCATCGTAGCTTAGTGCAGCTGAGTCCCTTTCCCTGGCTTTGCTGAGCGTCTTCCTGTTTCATGAACCTGCACTGGATGGGTCTGTGGTTTACCTAATCTCTGTCACGCAGATTGCAGTCTTCCAACTTTGGGGTGTGTGTGCGCATTACATATGCACGTGTGTATGTATGGATGCTGTTCATGTGCACCAAAGTCCCAGGAGGATGTCAGCTGCTCTGCTCTGTTCTTCACTCCTTTGACACAGCTTTCACTGAACCTGGAGGCAGGCTGGCAGGTGGCAGGCCTCAGTGATCCTCCTGCCTTCACCCTACAGACTTAGGTGGGGATGCCAGGCAGTTCGTGCTGGGATCTAAACTCTGGTTCTCATGCTTACACGGCAAGTGTTCTCACCTACTGGCCACCTCTCCAGACTCATTTCCTACTCCTTACAGAGAACTGTAGTGAATAACTTTGTCCCTAGGTCATTTTTAACGTGTGAGAAAACATCTGAAATGTAAATTCCTGTAGTATGAATTCATCTAAGGGCCTATGATCATGAGCATAAAAAGCCAGCCAGACGCTCTCTAACCCCGTGGCTGGGCTGCACACTCCTTCTCTGGACACCCAGCACGGGAGGTGAGTTGGCAGAAGCAGCTGCGCTCTTTCTCTTCAGCGCTTGTTGAAGCCTGGTGTTATGTCGTAAGGCCTGGGACCCTGCCTCAGCAGTTGACCAAAGGCTTGCTGTCATCAAGTCTGGTTTCATATACTTTGATTTGTGCCCCTTCTAGAGAATTCTTGAGAAAACTTGGAATTGGCCCATTGTCCTGTAGTGAGCTGTTTCCACCAAATCCATCTTACATGGGAAGGTAGAGGCAGTAGGATAAAAGGTGCTTGTGGCCAGCACTGGTTATATAGCAAGGCTGAGGCCAGTCTGGATTACGTGAGACCCTGTCTCAAAAAGAGTCTCAATTGGGGGTGGGGCTGGAAAGATGGTAACGTGCTTGCTTACCTTATGAGTGTTTGGATTTGTCAGGGTCCCCAGCATTCACAAAAAAGCAGTGAGTGGGCAGAGTGTCTAATTTCAGTGCCTGGAAAGGGAGAGGCAGGTTGGCCAGCCAGCCTATCCAAATTGATGAGTGACGGGTTCAATGAGAGTCCCTACCTCAAAAACACAAAAGTAAAAAAAGAGGAAGGGGGGCAGACGGGATAAAGTGCTGGATGGCCTGAGTTCATCCATAGGACCCACGTGATGGAAGGAAGATGACTTCCCCAAGTTGTCCTCTGGCTTTCACACACATGATGGTGGTGGTAGTGCACACGCACACATACACACACTCACGCCAAAAGTATGGTTTTAGTTGGAATGCAGTGAGTAAGGATCATTCCTTTTAGCCTGTTTCCTTTTCGTTTGGTTCCCTTATCTTTGGCAGACATAGGGAGTTTGCCTTATGTTATGTATTATGTAGCACAGGTTGGCCTCAAATTCAACATGTAATTATCAATTACTGTGAACTCATTTCCTGCTTCATCTTCAGAATTCTGGGATTGTAGGCCTGAGCCGCACTGCCAACTGGGTCCTCCAGTCTAGTTGACTAAAAGGTGTGGAGCTGGGCATGGTGGTCCATACCTTTAATGCCAGCACTCGGGAGGCAGAGATAGGTAGATCTCTGTGAGTTTGTCACCAGCCTGGTCTACCCTAGGAGTTTCAGGATAACCATGGCTGTATAGTGAGAACTAGTCTCAAATTGATAATGAGGGCCTAGGGGGAAGGGAACCAGAGTAGACACACAGACATAAAAGAACAAAAGACACAGGGAATCTTAGGGTGTCTCTAGCACAGGATCTGCCTCAGGCCCCACCAGCGCCTTCCTTGCCTTTCCTAGCGATAAAAGCAGTTGCTTAGCTGCTTGGTGACCTCCTCTAGATAGCACTGCCCTCCTTGGGAGTGGTAAAGGCTGAATCCTGTTTTGTTCATTTGATAGCTACATGCTTTGGAGCAGGTAAGGCTGCAGTCATTTTGAAAAGGGGTAATCACGGTACCTCCTTCATGGAGATGGTGCACAAGCTCTTGTCATGTCAGCTGTTGCTAACACTTTTATTATGGATGCCTTTCAGAAGGTGCTCCCTGGAGGGGCCTGCCCCACTGCTCCTGTGCCGAGTTCCAGGACAGCCTCAACTTCAGCTACCATCCCTCAGGCCTGAGCCTGCACCTCAGACCACCCAGTCGGGGAACGTCCCCGCAGGAGCAGCCCCTCTCCCCAGTACTAAGGCCTGAACCCCCAGACCCAGAGAAGCTTCCTGTGCCCCCCGCCCCTCCATCCAAGAGGCACTGCCGCTCCCTCTCGGTGCCTGTGGACCTGTCTCGCTGGCAGCCAGTGTGGCGGCCCGCCCCCTCCAAGCTGTGGACTCCCATCAAGCACCGGGGCAGTGCTGGAGGGGGTGGGTCGCAGGTGCCTCACCAGAGCCCCCCGAAGCGGGTCTCCAGCCTCAGGTTCCTCCAAGCTCCCAGTGCCTCTTCTCAATGTGCCCCAGCCCACAGACCCTACAGCCCTCCCTTCTTCAGCCTGGCCCTGGCCCAAGAGTCCTCTCAACCCTGCGCCGCCTCCCCTCAGAATGGTTCTTGGGAGAGTGATGCTGAGTCCCTGTCACCCTGCCCACCCCAGCGCCGCTTCTCCCTGTCACCCAGCCTGGGCCCACAAGCGAGCCGCTTCCTGCCCTCTGCTCGGAGTTCCCCTGCATCTTCCCCAGAGCTGCCCTGGAGACCTCGAGGTCTCCGCAACCTTCCCCGAAGCCGCTCGCAGCCTTGTGACCTGGATGCCCGCAAAACTGGGGTCAAGCGGCGCCATGAAGAGGACTCCCGGCGCCTACGGCCTTCCTTGGACTTTGACAAGATGAATCAGGTGAGCATAGACAGAGCGGGAAGACTGAGACACCTCCTACCTCCACCTTGTAGGCATCTCTGGGAGCTCTTCTCTAGTCCAGAGTTTTTTCTAGGACCATTCTGTCTTGCCTGAACTATCTGAGTTTTAACCTTTAAACTCTGCTGTCTGTCAGATTAGTCCTTGGTGTTCAAAGAGACTGAGACATTAAACCTTAGGCGGGTCTCTAAATGTCCTGCCAGAAGCACTTCTCTCAGGACTCAAAAGTCCTGTCGCCGTGCCTACTCCTGTCCCCGCACTTCACTGCCCCGTGACCCTTTGGAGGCTGACACAAGCTTAGCACACGCTTTTCTAAAGTCCTACTGAGAGCAGCTGCTGCGGATGGACTTGTCTACTTTTCCATATTTTTCTTTCTAGATCGCTTGGTCACAGGTCTCTGAGAATTTGTTCCTTTAGTCATCCAGCCATTCAGGAAGCATTCATGGCAAAGTCTATGTACTTGATTCTGCTCAGGCACTGGCAGAACAGAGAATGGCCAGATAAGCAGATGGTGTTGTTGACTTCATGGAGCTTATAAATGAGGTGGTTTTTGTTTTGTTTTGTTTTGTTTTGAATTAAGATCAGGTGTTTCGAAGGGCAGTGGCGGTGAACACCTTTAATCCCAGCACTTGAGAGGCAGAGGCTAGTGGATTTCTGTCTGGTCTATGGAACGAGTTCCAGGACAGCCTCCAAAGCTACACAGAGAAACCCTGCCTCGAAAAACCAAAACAAAACGAAAAGATAAGGTCTTTGTACTTATCCCACGTTGGCTTTAGCCTCCTGAGCTATGAGCCTTAAGGTCCCGTCACAACCCATCATCCTCAGATTCCACTCTTTTATGGTGCTTGTGAGTGAGCCTGTGTCCTTAGACATGCTATGCACGTACTCTGCCCCTGGTGGTCCTCAGCCCCAAGGCTGTGTGCTTTGTTGCGGGTTTGGTTTGGTTTTTTAAGCAGGGTCTCATTATTGTAGTCCAGAATCCACTATGTAGACCGAGCTAGCCTTGAAATCGGAGAGATCTGTCTGCCTCTGCCTCCCGAGTGCTGGGATTAAAGGTGGAAACTGTAGTTCTTTCCTCAGAGAATGTATATGTATACTAAATGGTCCAAATTTTATGATTTGGAACGTCACTCTAAAGCCTAGAATTTCTGCCTTCAAGTGTAATTGAGAGGGACACTTTTGCATTTATTTTTGGAGGGCCAGGAGATGAGACTTGGTGGTGAACAGCATGGATTTGATGCTAGCACCCACACAGTACAGCTCCCGTCCCAGGGGAGTCGATGTCCTCTCACGGCCTCCGCAGGCATTGTTCTGTGCACCTGTGCACAGATGCACCTGCGAGCAAAACACCCATATGCATAATCAATGGACAGTTTTTTAAATTTTAGGTTACTTTGGGAAATTAATATCTTTGTCTTTGTTGTTCGACAGAAACCATACTCAGGAGGTCTCTGTCTCCAAGAAACAGCTCGAGAAGGCAGCAGCATCTCTCCACCGTGGTTCATGGCCTGTAGCCCCCCACCCCTCTCTGCTTCCTGCAGTCCTGTTGAGGGCTCATCCCATGTGCTGAGTGAGAGCGAGGAGGAAGAAGAGGGGGCCGTGCGGTGGGGGCGGCAGGCTCTAAACAAGCGGACACTGTGCCAGCAGGACTTTGGGGACCTGGACCTGAACCTGATTGAGGAGAACTAAGGCTGAGAGGGTGCTTCCTGGGGCCACACAGACTGACTGTCTAATGGCTGCTAACGTGTCAAGGCCCCAAGGCTGAGGGCCCAGCCTGGGAAAGGGGGTGAGTGGAGGGCTCCGACTCAGGGCAGCCGAAGTCTTCTCGCTCCAGCAAGCTCGACCATGCCAAGAGACTGGCCGGGACAAGATAAACAGAGCTGGTGACGGGAGGGCAGCCCCAGAGCAGACCCTCCCCGTGGCGGCCCTGAGTGTGAGTATCCCTGCCACCGAGAGCAATGGGCAGGGAAGGAAGGGGTCTGCTGACCCCAGCTCGGGGAATCTCACTAGCCCCTTTGCTGCAAAGGGCACTTGTGTCTTAGAGTTTGGCCAGGGTGGGGGCGTTCAGTCAGCCTCCTTGGAGAAGTTGTGTGAGTGTGTGTGTGCATGGGCGTGTACTTGAGGAAAGGTGTGTTTGTGTAGCCTTAGGGAAGGAAGGCAGTTGCTCCTTTAACAGCAGAGCATCAGGATGCCCCCAGAATTTTTTGTTGTTGTTCTTTTTTTAAAATATGGCGTTGGGCTTGTTCAAGGTGTCAAGAGCAGAGGGGGTTTTTTTTTTTTTTTTTTTGGTCTTACTAGCTGTGGAGCCAGCTCTTAAGGTCACAGTGTCACTTGCTCTGCAGATGGCTCTTGTGACCTCAGTCCCACCCTCTCCCACTAGATAAATCTAGTATTGAGGGCTTGTAGGGAGGTCACATTCATTGTGTTGATCAGATTTTCTAAGCTGTACACAGCCTGCCTCTCCCTCGTTTTCTGAGTCGGTGCAAGCATGGGCAGCTGAGCCAGAGCTGAGGGTTCTCTCTTCTTCACCCAGGGATGCTTTCATGTTCTGATCTTTCAAGTCGGAGACAAAGTTGATCCCCAGAATATGTTGATGCAGACCTGTAGCTGGAGCAGTGACATTTAGTCCCCAGAAGGCCTTGAGCCCACCCCAGCACTGCCTTTTTGAAGCTGATTGTAGGGAAACTTACTCTTGCGAGATCTAGGCCCAGGCTCTTTCTGATCTGTGAGAAAGAGGAAGGGCATTCAGCATTTAATAGTTTGCTTGTCTTCCACTCTTGCCAGGAAATGTTTATTTGCCTCTAATTGGCCCTGAGAGACCGCAGAGAGGATTGGCTGGGGCTCCCTGAGGGACTGCAGAGAGGATTGGCTGGGGCTCACTGAGGGACCGGCTGGGGTGTAAAGCAAAGGCTATGAGAAGCAGCTGGGGGTTGGTTGTTGTTGGATTGAATTTCCTTCTGTGTTTTACCCACAATTCAGCCAGTGCAACAGGTCCCGATGGTAACGGACTTAAAGATTGCCGATACCTTGGTAGGGTTGGCACTAGTGTCACGCGTATAGAAGCCTGGGACTTTGTTTAGAGCACCCTGCATAACGGGAATTGGGCCTACCCTTCCAGTTTATGATAGTAAGGTCATCTATCTGCTCAATTTCCAGAGTGTCTTCAGGGGAGGTAGCCATGTCTTCTTGCGCCTGTGGCCCTCAGAGGTTCTACTTTTCCAGGGCTCCTCCCTATCTCCTGGCTAGTTACCACATGTTACCACTGGGCTACCAGTCTCTAAGGGCCTACGAGAGGCTCTCTTGAGAATCCAGGGAAACTGAGCCCAGGAGTTATCTATCCTCGGTTCATCCTTCCCTGGTTCTCCCTCTCTGGGCCATAATTTCCCTGGTGCCAGCTTCTTTTCCACCTGGGGCATCCTCACCCCTGGGCGCTCTGCTGCAGATGGCAGTGCCAGCCTCCGGTAGGTCACTGGCAGTGCCAATGGGGTCTGCAAGCCCTAAGTTTAAGTGAAGGCAGTGGTTCTGCCTCCATCCTGGCTTTTCCACCCTTAGGGAAGGAGGCCCACAGTTGTCATATTTTAATTCCATTCCTTTAAGTCTGGAATGTTAAACTAGGCAGAACTATCATCTTGCTTCCCAGTTTAAATGCCTCTGGCCCTGGAACAAGCCTTTTCAAGACGTGAATCATTTTGCTTACACAATAGATCTGTTCCAACAGTTCTGTGTAAACCAAACGCTATTTTTTAATGCATTTGGACTGCTGGCCATTTAAAAGCAGTCTATGATTGCTTCTTTTGTAAAGCGAGCAACCTCCCTCTACTTTAACTGGTTTCGTTGTCTGGGTTTTCACTTTTGGGCTTTCCCAGAGTGGAGCACACCTAGGGGCTTGTGGCTGGTGCTGTGTCGATGTCTGCATCTGCTGTGTGTGTGGTGTGGCTGGCCACTAGGTGAGTATTACTGCGTGTGAGTGAGGCCACTCCCAGGCTGATGCTCTCCTCCTGTGCCCGGTGACTGCCCGGTGGCAGCCCTAGCTGCCCTTCATTCCCTCCTGCTGCCAAAGTCCCTGTGCTAATGGGATTACAGAAACAAAAAGTGGAAAAAATTTTCGTAAACTTTGTTTTATATTAAAAAATTCCATAAGTCTGTGTGTGTTAAAACATGAGGTTCTGCCTCTGTGGCTGTGTTTGAAAAAAATAAAGTTTTATTAGAATAATCCATTTTCCCAAGCAACCTTGTGTACTATAGTGTCTTTTTCACTTAGTGCACACACACACACACACACACACACACACAGTGAGAGGAAGAAACAGTAGGAAGGCTGCCTAATTTCCCAATCCCTTTAAGGCATGGCCAGGCCATCCATAGGGGCTGTATCTGATTCCTAGACCATCTATGAGCAGACCCTGTTGCCTGGGATTCTGTCACTACAGCTTGGGTTTCCTGACACATTTGTTGTCTGCCAACACTTTCGTTTCCAGTTGGTTAAAAGTACTGGTGTGCGTTCCGGGTCCCTGAGAGATGCTTGTTGGTGTAAGTTAGACACTTGACTAGGCTGACTCATAGGCTTTGGATGGTAGAAGACAGAAAGGAATCCCTAAATAAGAGTTTTGCATGCTATATCTGGAGAGATGGAGATTTAGTCATTAGAACTCAGATTCCAAAGACCTGGGTATCCATCTTAAAACAATCTTGTTTGCACAATGACCCTAACAGCAAAGCCCCTTTGTCCTAGAAAAGGACATGTTCCTTAAAGCTTCCGTTCCTCTTGGCTTTTCTAGAACATCCTTCTTAACGTTAACATTTTTCTAACGTGTATTGATGAAATACAGCTACTTTAGCCAAGCAAGGGCCTCTGCCCATGAAGTCCAGTCTTTCCTTATCAGGCTGTACGGAGAGTCCAGGTGCTCCTCTTGTATCTGCTTGTCTACTGCAAATCTGTAGATTTGTGTACAGGAGGCAGGACTGGCCTGGCTACCAGGAGTAGGAACCTTTGGATGCAAATATACTCTAGAGAGTGGGAGTCGCCACCAGCCCTGGAAATGGAGCAGCGGGGCTTTGAGGTGGATAAGGAGACACTGCTTTTCCTCTCCCGACATCTACTCTTGTATGCGCTTGAGCCACGGGCAGAGTTTGAAGGATTGAAATTGTCCCTCATTTTTAATTTTTATTTTTTTAGGTTTTATAATTGGTTTGAAATGTTTTTCATTTTATTTTGTGTGGGGTGTGTGTGTGTGTGTGGTCTTGCCTATGCTAGATGAATGTTCTCTCAGATACACATGCTAGTTTTCTGTGCGGTCAAATGTGTTAATCACTTTCATTGCTGAAGTCTCTTCTAGGAAAGAAGTGTAAATTCTATAAGGGTGGGGGATATTGTTTTATTCAGTGTTGTGGCCTCAACACTTTGGAGATTTTTTGGCATGTGAAAAAGTACCTGCTTTATTTGTTGGATGAATTTCTTCTTTGCCCATCCCATCCCTGAGCTTAAATATAGTTGTCACTAATGCTGTGAAAACCCAGCCTTAGCTACTGGGGCGGTGATTAAGGCTCCATGTGAGAGGAAAAACCTTCAGTCATCAATTTTTATAGAAAAGATGCAAGGTAGATAGGTCCTGTATGGCTTCACCCTTTTTCCTTCTATGAATAATTTATGAGCCATGAGCTCTAAGGGCTCAACCCAGGCCTCAGGTTTGCTATGGAAGAGAGAAGTTACAAGGAATACGGGTTGGGTCATGCCTTTACCCTAGAGGCAGACTGGTCTAACATAGTAAACTCCATGTCAGACTGGGACACATAATGAGACCCTTAAAAAAACAAAACAAAACAAAAAAAACAGCAAAGAAAGGTTGGAAGGAACAGGGAGGAATTTTTTTTTTCATGGTGCTCCACAGGGTGGTACTAGAAAGATTTCCCTAGATATTTTATAGTTTATAAAATTGGTGGTTGGTATCTCCCATTCCAGTATTTGCTTTAAAAGAAAAAGTAGGTCAGAGGTATAGACAAGGTTATGGAAAAGGAGATAGCAAGGCAGTCCCAGATGCTCTGGACAGACCATGGAAGAGCCAGCCACTTTTAGAACCGCAGTCATGGTTTACGACTAGGCCCTGTCTCTTTTGTATAGACTTAGTCTGCATCCAAGAGACTGTTAGAAACAAGGTGGCCTAACGTTGCACACTGTGAACTAGTCTAGCCAAAGCCTCCCTCCGTTCCACCTTTCTTTCCTAACTGGGACTGGAGTATCTCCTTCCTGAAATGGTTGTAATGCATGCTACTGTACTTTTGCCTTCAACCCCATTATACCCGTAGTAAATGAAATGCCACCAAATTAGGTCGTTTCTCCCATTTTCCTACAAGTTGAGTAGCATCTAAGTTTAATGACATTGGCAGACTGGGGCTAGAGAGATGGCTCTCTGGTTAAGAACACTTGCTGTTCCCTGGTCTTGCAGAAGGCCACCCACATGACAACAGCTTTGTAATCTAGCGCCCTCTTGTGGCCTCCACAGTGACACACACACACACATGCGCAAAATACTTAAAAGGATTTTTTGTTTGTTTGGTGTGTTTTTTTGTTTTTGTTTTTATTTAAGAAAGGCTCTCACTACATCACTCTGGCTGGCCTAAATCTCCCTAGATGAATAGACCAAGTTGGCCTCCATCTTTCGGAGACCTGCCTGCCTCTGCCTGCAGAATGTTGGGAGTTAAGAACAAGTGCCACCGCCACCACCTGGCTACAACAAATGTTCAGAAGCCATAACGTTGACCCATTAGGAAAAGAAGCACCGTGGGTTCAAGGCACAACACTAAGATGGTAAAGGTACATTCGTCTTTACCCAATGGAAACTGTAATCACACCACTGACGGGCCAATGAGAAGGTAGCGGTCAATCTAGGTCAGTGGGGCACATGCTTCCTAACAGAAAACAGGGAGCCTAACTCGTTTTAGGATAGGCTATCAAGGGGTCATTGGGATTAGCGCAAAATATCCATCGTCTAGGTACCTTGCCCCATCTCCCCACTTTCTTAAAAAAAAAGTCTTCCGTGGAGTCTGTGGAGAGTTAAGCATCCGCTCAACACGTGACCACCTGACCTGGAGTAAGACTGGGACCAGGGATGGTGCTCCTGGGGGTGGGGTGGGGAGGATGAAAGACCCGCCCACCTCCCCGCCCCATAGCCGAACGTGCAATTCCCCTCCCGGCCGCAGGGGGCACTGCAGGCCCCGGGGAGGTAGGGGGCGGAGCGCTGCGAGGGGCTGACAGCGGCTGCCTGGCTCCGGAGCGCTGGGGGCGCTGTGCGCGGCCCTGGCTGTGCCTCCGCTCCCGGCCACGGGGGGCGCTGCGCGGCGCCGGTGGTTGGTGGTGGCTGTTGGGGGGGTGGGGGGGGAGCGGCGGCCGCGGGTGGTGCGGAGGGAGGCCTTGCGGGTGGATCGGGCGCTGCGCGGCGGAGGCGGCGGGAGGAGGAGGAGGAGGCGGGCGGGCGGGAGCGCGGGTCCGGCCGGCCCTGGCGATGGCGGACGCGGCGGCCTCCCCGGTGGGCAAGCGGCTGTTGCTTCTGTTCTCGGACCCTGCGGCCTCGGCGTCGGCTCCGGCCCCCACGGCGGCTGCAGCGGTGAGCGGAGATCCTGGGCCTGCGCTGCGCACTCGGGCCTGGCGAGCCGGCACGGTGCGGGCCATGAGCGGGGCGGTGCCCCAGGACCTGGCGGTGAGTGGCGGCCGAGGCGGGCACGCGAGGCCGGGGCTGCGGGGCCTGTGGGCGGCCTCCCCGGGGGCCTTTGTGACGGGGGTGGCGAGGCGGGGGTGACCCAGTTCCGCGCCCCCGGCTCTCCGGAGCGCCCCCCCCGCCGGCGCCTCGGCGCCTGGGCACTCGGGCTCTGCCCGGCGTGGCTTCCGCGTCGGGGTGCGCGCCCCGGTTCCTCCCGGGGTGTGGGGGGGGAGGGTGGGCGGCCGAGGTGCGAGGAGCCGCCGCTGCCTGCAGCCGCCGCCGCCTGCAGCCGGCAGGCCCCGCCTCCCGGGCGACCCTGCCCGGCGCACCCCCACGCCCTCGGAGCCCGCTCTCGAACCCGGGTCCCGCAAGGTTCGGCCGGAGGACGCGGAGCCCCAAGGCCGTCTCGGGGTGGGGGTGGCTCGCCCCGGGCCCCCGTCCTCCCCGAGCCCCGGGCAGTTGCGGGAGGCGCGGCGGCTGCGGTTGGGGCTGCTGCTCGGGGGCTTTGCTCCGTTTTCACCCGGCGCTCACTTCCTCCTGCGGGAGCCGGGCTCGGCCTGGCGGCCCCCGGCGAACACGGCGCCGGGGTCCGAGTGCGAGCGCCCTGCTTCGGGCGCTCCTGGCTGACGACGGCGCGCGGATAAGTTTGAGGTCCGTGCTGGCGGCCGGGGAGGGCGGCTGCTGCCCGGGGGGGTGGGGGAAGTTCTTGCCTCTCCCACCCCACCCCCGAGCCTCGAGAAGGGGCCGCGCTCTGAAACTTTGTCCGCGGCTTCGGCCGCCGGCCTCGGCGCCAATTCCGGTGGGAAGTCGTTCCGCTCGAAGCAGCGTTCGAGACCGTGATGAGCTTTCGTTTATTATATTATATATATATTTTTTATTATTTTCATCTTTGCTTATGCGGCGGCAGCGCGCTCACCCGTGAGTTGGGTCGAGCCTCCGCAGTTCCTCATTCTGGCGGCGGCTCCCCCCACTGCTCCTCTCGCTGCTGAGACGAAGCTGGGAGAAAGGGCGGGAGGGCCGTTTCGGGACGGTCTGTCGGCCGGCGAACAGAAAGTGAGTGCTCTGGGTGAACTTGACGCCGCGGACGTCTTAGTCCCTAAACGGGAACGCATCGTAGGAGGCTTGGGATTGGTGTGGCCGTCTGCTGCTGGGTTTGCATCCTAGTGATAGTGCTGGCCAGTCTGTCTGTCTGTCTGTCTGTCTGTCTTTCCAGCTTTGTGGGGGCGGGTGTGGGTTTTTGTTTGTTTGTTTGTTTTTGGCTTGTTCCTGGCTCAAGCTTCAGTTCCCTAGCTCTGACCGCTCTCTGGGATGCACGGAGAAGGCTTGTTAGCATATTTAGGAAGCTGTAGTGGGTGGGGTGGACTTGTAAAAAGGACGCCAGGACAATCAGGGGTCGGGGTGGTGGCTAAGATGGGAATTTGACCCGAAATTCCTCTGTCCTTCCTAGGAAGGTGGGTCTGGGTCGGGTCGGGGAGGTTTCTCGCTCGGAGTCACCAGTTCCCTCCCCCGCCCCAGGCAAAACCTCCTTGAGATCCA